CAGTCTAGTAAAGTTGACTAAGACGTAGAGACACTTCAAGGTGGACCCAGTCTAGTAAAGTTGACTAAGACGTAGATACACTTCAAGGTGGACCCAGTCTAGTAAAGTTGACTAAGACGTAGAGACACTTCAAGGTGGACCCAGTCAAGTAAAGTTGACTAAGACGTAGATACACTTCAAGGTGGACCCAGTCAAGTAAAGTTGACTAAGACGTAGATACACTTCAAGGTGGACCCAGTCTAGTAAAGTTGACTAAGACGTAAAGACACTTCAAGGTGGACCCAGAACAATGAAGAATAACAATTTATAATAGGAAATATTCAAAATGACCCATCAGCATAACCTAGAAAACAAATGTGTGTAAATGTGAATAGATGGGTGTAAATGTGAAATGATCAATGTGCATGCTCTGAATTTTATATATTTTAACCCGCGTCACATATTTTTATACAAAATAATAGATTTTCGATTCAAATCTTGCACGGTTTCAAAACTGCAGTTTCTTGCATCAAACTTTTGTTATTAATTTTTGCAACCTAATGACGTATCACAGTTATATCAAACTTTAGTATTTTAAACAGTATACCATCAGGATGCAAAAATAAAAGGAGTGGAAGATTAGAATTTGTGACCACTGTGAAGTTCCTGCAGATGCTTTTTCTGAAGAAATATTGAATAAAAAAATCAGTATCCATCAAAACAAGTTTACTTTTCTCACTGAAGCGTGTAAGATCTGAACTACGAAAGAGGTCACCAAGTTGTACCCGTAATTCTGCATAAAATTACTTAGTACCTAATGTCAAAGTTAGACGAGTCAGGCTAATCAGTTGACTCAATGTCTGATAAATCCTCTAATTATACTGTAGTATATTGCGCCATTTCTTTATATTATAATATTTTCAAAAAGAGAGAGATGAAGAAAAAGAGAATCATTAATAAAAATCTTGTTTCCAGTTTCCCCTGGCCTGTCATTAGAACCTGGTCTGATGGATGACTTTGTTAGATACCCGATACTTGCATAGATAGATAGATTCAGTAATTCATGCATAGATACTTGCATAGATAGATAGATCAGTAATTCATGCACAGATACTTGCATGGATAGATAGATTCAGTAATTCATGCACAGATACTTGCATAGATAGATAGATCAGTAATTCATGCACAGATACTTGCATAGATAGATAGATCAGTAATTCATGCACAGATACTTGCATAGATAGATAGATTCAGTAATTCATGCACAGATATTTCAACCAAGGCTCTCCAAGCAGTTAGGAAGGTAAGGTGGGAGGGAAGGGATTATAAAACTGCTCAGGAACTAGTTTTAGCTTACCAACAAAAACAAAGATTGGAAACAAATATGCAATCTTCGTTATTTTCGTTAGTTCCTGACTCCTTTATATAGGATTGTTTGAACAAAACTCCAAAGTTTACTTTTTGGGTCTATGCATTTACGAGAATAAATTTTAATTTAAAAAATCAGAAAAGAAAAGGAGAATGTAAAGAGACAAAATGAAATAATATTTCTTAACAAAAAATAACGGTATCTACAAAACTGCCCCACACCATTAATGAAATTGGGTTCCGATACTATTGCGATGCTCTGTCTTAAGTTTCGAGCTAAAGTAAATTTCATTCGTGCACGTTTTTAAACACTTGTTAGAAGCTTTAATTTATACCTACCTGAATGGCCCGGCGTTGCTCGTGGAAATTATTTTTTTGAATTATTCATAGGCTAAAACACCCCCTACCACCCCCTGTTTTTAATTTTTAATATTATTATTACTATAATAATTATTATCATTATTATTATAATTATCATTATTATTATTATAATTATTATTATTATTATTATTATTATTATTATTATTATTATTATTATTATTATTCTTATAATTATTATCATTATTCAGAATATGCATTTTCTCTACGAAAAACATATACAAAGATACTAAGGACAGTATATATATATATCTAATCTGTTCTCCAGATTTGTATAAAGATACTAAGGACAGTATATACATATATATATCTAAAGCTGTTCTCCAGATTTGTATAAAGATACTAAGGACGGATAAGCAGAGAAACAAACAGTGTTGAAGGATAGGTTTAGTGGGATAAAGAAGAAGGGGAGTTGGGTTGAAGAGGAACACTGCAGGGGGACAAAATGGAATATTAAGATACAGTGTGCATCAAAACCTTTAAAAAAGGCTACATTTTATACACATTAAACGATTTATGGAAACTTTTCAAAATATTATAATATTCTTCTTAGCAAGCTTCGCACCCGTCATTGTTTTTTTTTCAGCAAATACTTCTCCTTCTTTCATTAACAATAAAAAAAATAAAGTTTTCAAAGTTTTTTTTTTATTTTTTTAAATGTGGTTCAATGGGCTTGAGATATGAAAACAGAAAGATATGAAAACAGTAAGATATGAAAACAGTAAGATATGAAAACAGTAAGATATGAAAACAGTAATCATTTCAAAAATATATTTGACTTTGCTTGCGATGATCCTTCTGGATGGTTCCGTTTTTGTTCAACCCTGATAGAATATATTATTGTGAACCTTTAGTTTCCAATGCTGTGTTGATGTTTGAGTTAGATTAGGGAAGACAAAATGTCACCTTATATTTCTCTCACTATCAAAACATTTTCAAGAAACCCATCCTTCATTCTTGGAGAAGGGTGTTGCAAATTCTGAAGTAAATACAGGGCAAAACATAAATTATCAATATGAACCCTTCAACCGGTTTATCATGTATGGAATCTCTTTATTGATTAAAGTCAGTCTGTGTTATTTAATTTAAATTTTACATGCAAAACTTTTTTTCTACAATCGACAAGGTGAATCTTGAAAGTAGATTCATTTGTATGCTGAGATACTCCTCCCCCTTCCTCTCCCCCCCCCCTTGGGCCGATGAATAATGAAAATAACCCAGGGCATCAGGGTTACAATATAAATGTAAATGTGTGATTTCTACTGTATACAGGGTGAAGATTAGAAGATTAAGATGTGTGCGTGTACAGGGTGTCACATTAAACTTATTTCTTTATTTTTTTTTGTCTTTTCTTTATTCATATAAGGCAAAATTGTCAGAAATCTAGCCCCGAGATAACTCCACGATAACTCAACTCAAAGTCTAATTAGAATCTAACTGACTCTATCTCTAGCAAAAACGCAAGGCTCTGTATATGTCCGTGTAAATCAACAATTCGTAATGAACTAATTTATTTTATATACAGGTGAACTAAACTGACCGGGCTAGCCGGACAGGGTCAAAATACAGATAGTTAACCCTATCCCTGCTGGGGTACTTGAAAACCAGGATACGCTGGGGGGGGGGTCAATTTGACCCCCCCTCTAAATCCCATGTTTTATGTCCAAATATGACAAATGATACATCATTAGAAAGCTCTTGTGCTCTACTTTTAGAATCTGCAAAAAAATTTGCAAATTTGCGAAAATTGAGTTTTTTATCGCAAAATCCAGTTTTATAGTAAAAATGTTTGCAAAAAAAAAATTGTCCAAAAAATGACAAATTATACATTTTTGAAAAGCCCTTGACCATGCCATTTCAAATATGCAAAAAATTTTGCAAACTTTTAAATAACCTGATTTTTAATCAAGAAAAACTAAAAATGTGCAAATTTCCTTTGACAGGTTGTTTGCAAAAAATTTGCCATTTTTTCGCAAAACTTGTGCAATCCGTTTCCTTATGTCATAGGTTTTCCAAAAAGCTAAGTTTTATCAAAATCTGATAAGTGAAAGTGGGTCAAAACAAAGATTTAGTTTGTTACAAAAGCAGTCATTCAGCCAGTGTGCCTGAGGACTCAGGCAGTTAGTATTAAAGCCCGGTTTTAGGCCTAAAGGGAGGGCTTTGGGTATGTAAGAAAAGTCAGAAAATTTCAACAGCCTCAGACCAATACTTTTTGAGTTATGTAAAAAAAACTACAGGGGGGGGTAAAATTGACCCCCCCCCCCCAGCAGGAATAGGGTTAAGATATATTACTAACATGGATAATATAGATCGCATCAAGCATTAACACAGAATATATTACAAAATTTCTAATTTGACCATAACATCGCCATAATTAGTGAATTTTGGGTCGTCAATAAAGTGTCATATTCTGTGGGTAAACCTGAATCTTTGAGAGGTTATCCAGATTTTCAACAAATGACTATGACGATTTAAACATTTATTCGTCGGAATTGGTTTTTGAGAATTTGCAAATATTTGTTGGGGGGGGGGGGTATAAAAAAGTAAAAAATCTAACATACAATCCTGGTTTTCTTCCAGTGTTTATCTTCACTCTACACCCTGTACAAAGCAAACATATTGGATTCTAAGTCTATAAGATATATTCCCAACTTTACCTAGAGACCTTACTTTGCCAGAGGAGATAAAGTAAATAAAGTCTCATCTTTACACACTTTTATTCTCATACTTTCATCAAATATTTACCCTTGGAGGTTCCTGTTCCAGTTCCTGTTCCAGTTCCTGTTCCAGTTCCTGTTCCAGTTCCTGTTCCAGTTCCTGTTCCACTTCCTAGTATAAAATCCCATAGTATCAATGCTATCACTACTAGAATTTCTCTAGATTTTAGAAAATGGGTTTCAATTTTAATTTTATTTAACTCTATTGACCGACACCTCCCCTCCCCTCCCCTCTTCTCCATTATTCTGATTAAAAGTCCAATGTTTTCTAAACAAAGCCCCTCCCTCACTTCAGTTAAACAAAGCATCCAACTTTAACTTCAAATAGATCGATTACTACCAAATAAAAAAAGGTTTAAAAACACATTTTTTTTGGCATTTATGGGATAAAGTAAATAATTTCTTAAAAACATTAAATCATGACAAAAAATCACATTATTTCAGTTTTTTATAATATATCAATGTATGATGTTGCTGTTGTGCCTGACTACGGTTCCTTACTATATTGCTTTCCCTATATTTAGGAAAGCCAAGGGTCAACTTATTTGGCATTGAAACCTGATCAGGAGTCCTACAGTACACATATACACCTGATCAGGAGTCCTACAGTACACAAATAAACCTGATCAGGAATCCTACACAGTACACATATTCACATAGTGATCATATAGAACTGAGGATCTGTATATTCTATCATGCCCAGCAAAGAGCAGAAGAAATGTTTCCTTTGTCCTTTACTAGGAGTTGCAAAGTGTTCTAACTGCGAGGTTTATTATTGTACTGCAGAGCATGCTGCTCTTCATAGTGATGGATCGTACTGTTTCCCATACAAGGTACATAAAGTACGTAAAGTACCAATAAAGATCGGAGTCATAAACGTTCTTCTTTAAAGGATTGAGTCGATCTTCGCCACAAACTTTAACCTATAAATCCCAATATTTGTCAAACTTGGGGGTGTAAACCTTTGATATTTCAAACTATTTCATAGTTTGAATTTTCAAAGGTCTGCAACATGGGGGGGGGGGGGCAAATTATAGAGATTTAAACATCTGAATTTGTGGCAAAAACTCAGTTTCTTTTCTATCCATATACCTTTCCAAACTTAAAGTGTAAACCTTTCATATTTTAAAGTTGGATCATTTCATCTAACGAAATTCATAGTTTAAAATATCAAAGGTCGACAACATTGGGTTGAAAAGATATTGGGGTTGAAAATCAGAGTTTTTTGGAAAAAGTCAGAATTCTCTTGCATGTTAACTTCTACATTTTAAAAATATCCCTGTATATTTTGCCAAGATTTATCAGTTTGAATAAAAAAGTGTTGTTTCTAATTAAAAGAATGAACAAAGATGACAATCTGTTTTGATTACATCTGTACAGGTTCCAGTCTATACCTTGATACTAAGTTTTTCTTGTATTTCAGGTTGGATACATCAAGGAGAAAGGCCGGGTTCTCTACGCTACACGAGACATAAAACCTTTAGAACTTATCCTAGTTGATCCAGGAACCGTAGTTGGTCCTAACTATAGAAGCACATGTGTATGTATCACATGCTTAAAAGGTTTAGATTCGATCACCCTATGTACTGGTTGTTCCTACCCCGTGTGTGATGAAAAGTGTATGAGGGAAGAAAGACATATGAAAGAGTGTTGTTTACTGGCTAAAAGTTCTGCAAATGCGAAACAAATCACTAAATCTGGAATTTCAGAAGGATACGCTCCTGTAACTATTCTAAGAGTATTACTCCTAGCAGAATCTTTAAGTGAAAGTTGGACAAGAACAAATGAATTAATGGATCATTTAACAGAGAAAACCGTTCATCCACTAGAATGGGATTGGTATGAAAATAGTATTATTAGGTATATAAGAGAAGATCTAGCTCTAGCTAAACGATTCTCTGTGAAAGATATTGAAAGATCTATTGGATTGTTAAATGTGAACGCCGTGTGTCTACAGTTTTCTAAAGCCCGTGGAATCCCTGCTAAAGAAGTGGGCAAGGGACTGTACCCTATATTTGCAATAATGTCCCATGAATGTATTTGCAATGCACGGTACATAGTTGATCCCAAAACCTTTAAAATGTATGTACGAGCAAGAGTATCAATCAAGGCAGGAACTGAGCTCACAGTCCAATATTTGTCAGCACTTTGGGGAACCTTTAAACGAAGAAAAAAGATAAAAGAAGAATGGTATTTCGACTGCACCTGCAGAAGGTGTTCAGATCCCACCGAATGTGGAACATACTCCAGCGGTGTTCAGTGCTTAGATTGTAATACTGGTATCTTGCTACCAGAAGATCCTCTTGACTATTCCTCGCCCTGGGCCTGTAATAGGTGTAGTCTAGCCATTAGTTCATCAAGGATTCAAACCTTAGTGGAGGATATAGAATCTGAGGTTGATAGTATCCTTACTACTCAACAGTACTGGAGATATAAAGAAATATTATTGAAATATTCCGGCACAATTTTGCATCCTGCACATTGGATTCTAACCACAGCTAGACGAAACCTTATTCAATATCTTTGCTACAGCAATACCGAAGATGTTCTTCATATTCTCAATGTGGAAGAACGGTTTAAGCTTTGTGAAGATTTCTTGAATGTATTGAAGAAGGTTGATCCAGGTTGGAGTGAGCTGAATATGTTTATCCTACGAGAATATCATTTTGCCAAGCTGAACATACTAGAGCGTTATTATGCTTCAGGGGTTATCAACATTGCGGAGTTCTCAGTCAAGTCCAGGAACAGTATTGAAGCATTAGACAAAGTTAAGAAGCAAAATGAATATCTAGAATTTGACACTTGACTTTTCCATCAATATTTGTTTTGTTATTCTGTTGTATATCATCAAAAAAATCAATATTTGACAAAAACTTTTTTTATATTGCAGTTGGAACCAGAAAATAGTACAAAGGTCATCTTCTTCCTTTTTTCTTTTAATTACAAATAAATGTTACTGAAATTGGAATTTTTTCTCTAAAAATATAACCAGAGCCAAGAACTTTTGTGTTGGATACTTATAATCCCTATCAATTTATTGCGATATCTTTTGTGGGCACTTTTAATTTGAGGATCTATAAAAACTATGCCTATAACTTCATTTTAATATTCCTCCCCGGCCTTAATCAAAGATCCCTTCAACCCCTGATTGTGTACGATTACCATGCGCGATATCGAATAAAGATTAAATTAATCTGTAGAATAACAAACGTTCGAGATCAAGCATTGTTTCGTAACGGTACTAGGGTTTCCAGCGAACGAAACGTTTCGCAAAAAAATGAAAAAATATTCGATCGCATTTCGCGAACATTTTTTTCTCCCATATTTCGCGAAAAATGCGAAATTATCGCGAAACGATTTTTTCCTTTTCACTGGAAACCCTACGGTACCCTTAAAACCTTTGTCATGTCAAATATAAAATAGAAATCCATCTTCATGGTTTTGAAATTTGATTGCTTTCAATTGTGGTTCTTTCAGAAAATGACTTGAGCATGTGTTCTGCAGAAAAACATTACTAAATTATCAGAATTAATCACTTTTAAACCTAGAATAACGTCAACATCCTCCACATTATTGATCAGATAAAGGTTTGAAAGGGTACGTTAACGTTTCACCATATCATTCATGATTTCAGTAAGATAAATTATTTTAACCCTATCCCCGCTGGGGTACTTGAAAACCAGGATACGCTGGGGGGGGGGTCAATTTGACCCCCCCCTCTAAATCCCATGTTTTATGTCCAAATATGACAAATGATACATCATTAGAAAGCTCTTGTGCTCTACTTTTAGAATCTGCAAAAAAATTTGCAAATTTGCGAAAATTGAGTTTTTTATCGCAAAATCCAGTTTTATAGTAAAAATGTTTGCAAAAAAAAAATTGTCCAAAAAATGACAAATTATACATTTTTGAAAAGCCCTTGACCATGCCATTTCAAATATGCAAAAAATTTTGCAAAATTTTAAATAACCTGATTTTTAATCAAGAAAAACTAAAAATGTGCAAATTTCCTTTGACAGGTTGTTTGCAAAAAATTTGCATTTTTTTCGCAAAACTTGTGCAATCCGTTTCCTTATGTCATAGGTTTCCAAAAAGCTAAGTTTTATCAAAATCTGATAAGTGAAAGTGGGTCAAAACAAAGATTTAGTTTGTTACAGGCAGTCATTCAGGCAGTGTGCCTGAGGACTCAGGCAGTTAGTATTAAAGCCCGGTTTTAGGCCTAAAGGGAGGGATTTCAACAGCCTCAGACCAATACTTTTTGAGTTATGTAAAAAAAACTACAGGGGGGGGTCAAATTGACCCCCCCCCAGCGGGAATAGGGTTAAGTCACTCACCAAAATGTGTAAATGTTTTTGAAAATAAAATAGTTTTAAAGTACTAAATCTTAACTTTACTTTTTGTCTGTAAAAATCAAAAGAAATTCTGAGAATGTTGGTTACAATATGGAAGGCATATTTTATATTTGTTTTCATCTGTTTTGAATAAAATTGAAATACCTATTTTTGACAATATTATTTTGGTGCAAAGTACTATAAAGTTAGAATTATTTTCCAACAAAAATGGTTTTATAGATATTTATTGTGCGCTTGTCATAACCCTATGTTGTTATTTCTAAATATAACATTTTTCCCAACACAGCATAAATCTGAAAAAGTATGTTATTTAAAATTTATTTTTCATAAAAATAATATATTATGTTTAAATTTCCCTAGTGTAAGAATGTTACATAAGAGAGTGCAATTTAATGAAGTAATATTTCTAGATAAGATGCTTTCTTTATTAAATTCCATTATATAATATCGTTTAATAAGAAGTGGGAATATATGTTGTGAGGTGATTTATGGTTTAATAGATTCAGGGTTCCCCTGTTGTTTTTGCGCAGACGTAATAAATTTGAATTTACTCTAGAAACCTGGATCTTTTGGACATTTGGTGGATAAATTTTCATAGATTAACTAAATCTAAAGTTTATCTCTATCTTTGCAAGGATTCTGTATGAAATAATATACTTTTATGTTTCTGAAATATATGACATTTTTTATCTTTTAAATGTCCGTAAAATGTCTGATATTTGAAATGCCTTATCTGCGCAATGTCTTCATTAATGTCCATTCTTTTAAAGAAATTGATTTTTTGTCACAAACATAAATTTTCTAATTCTTAAATCTCAACAACCTTATTGTGTAAACCTTTGATATTTCAAACTTACAATACCTGATCTTTAACAATATTTATAATTTGAAATACCAAAGGTCTACGAAATAAGGTTGTAAAGATAAAAATATTAGAAAATTAGAGTTTGTGGCAAAAACTCAATTTCTTTACCAAGACCTGAAAACATTTAATGCCATCCTATAGGTTTCTGATGTACTGATGTAACTTTAAAGCTATACAATCCATGCATCGAATGTTTATATTTTGGTTGAATAGAAACAAGCCATTACATCTTTTATTTATTTATGTACATAACTTTGATTCTAATCTAAAATGAAATGTGCTAAAGCAACCCAGAGAGGAGGCTTGAAACTATAAAAATGCTGTTATGAAGTTTTATTTAACAACTTGGACACATTCAGCTCAGTTTATAATTCTGTAGGGCTGGGCGTCTTCAGAGTTTTGAATTATATTGTTTATAGATAATCAAATGTGTTTGATATCTACTCTATAACTTTCCTTTTTCTGCTTAATTCGTAAGAATTATTCTTGAGAATAACATAAAGGACTTTAATAAAAACCACACAAGATAGTAAAACTCAAAAAATCAGAATCAGATGGAAGATGGCAAAAAACTCAAAAATCTTAAAAACCGAATCCTATTAGACTAATTGATGGAATAGGCAATGCCAAAAACACCTCAACTAACAACTAACAGGCAGATCAAGGCTTGTATCAAAAATAGTAATTAAGCCAGGGATGGAGACATTTTATTATGTGACTAAGGAACTGCAAGTCTTTGCTACAAAATCAAATAATCAAATGCCTATATCTTTGCATCCTGATAGTGTACACCTTTGACATTTCAAACTTAGGTTATTTGATACAACAAATCATTCATATTTTGAAATTGATTTTGAAGAATAGATATAGGGATTAGAAATTAGAGCTTGTGGCAAAGACTCAATTCCTGTCTGGTGGCACTTCCTAGTCAAAAACCCATTGCACAAACAACATCTGAAGCTGCATTTGTCATAATTAATTCAAAAAAATGAAAATCCCATGTAAAGTATTCTGTTTTGACGACTTAAAGGGTAATAAAAACCAAAAACTTCAAAAAGAAAGGTTGGCTGGGTGATGAATTTGATGATCAAAAATCAAAAAAACATATCTTAAAAAAATGTTTATTCTAAACCAATATTTTAGGTTAAGTTTGAAATATGTGCCAAGCGCTTTGACTAGGTCAGACTAGATCAATTTAAAATATTGCAAAGCCCTCCTTTGTGAAGTGGGAAGGGGGTTCGTGAGTCCTGTCTTAAGAAAAATCAGAGACCGAATTTGAAGAATTTGAGCCGCTTAAACCTGGTTCGATTTACTTCAAATTGTATTCATTGTTTTGATTTTTGAGCCGTTGCTCAATTGGAACCGGTTTTTGGAGGATAAACAACTCGTGTTAAATTCTTTGAATTCGGTCCCAGACCACTTTAACTGAAAACGCTTGATGAAAGCTTGATTTATTGGTTTGTGGATAGGTTTGTGGATAGGTTTGTGGATAGGTTTGTGGATAGGTTTGGGATAGGTTTTTAAGTAGTAAAGCCAACTTAAAGCACCAACCAAAAATTCCTTTAACATAAAATCATCAATAATATTTCATAGGATGCTTAATCTTATTTTTATTAGTAAAAGATCGATGTTCTTCAGTTTACAATTCAACATATTTTAATTTAAAAAGTCAACTTTAAAATTTTATACAATTCTAAATAATCAGATATCGGAATTTAATTGGATGATCTCGATATCCAAGTAGGGGAACTTTTTAATTTGTCGATAAATGGTTGATCCCGAGATAGTTCTGACTTCAGATAAACCTATATCCAATTATTGTTTGCTATCATTCTATTTCCATTTCCATTACATCTCCACTGCAACCATACCACGGGCCACGCCACAAAATAACAATGAGGATTGCTTTTTTCAAAAAATGCTTCGCCCGGGACAAACAGACATCTTTCTTTTCCATTACAGAGTTGAGTTACTCGTCTCATCTCATCAGGAGTAGGCTCGCGAGGATGGCAATCATGAACAGCCTAGAAATATGTAAAGGAAATGCTCATGAACAGCCTAGAAATATGTAAAGGAATTGTTCATGAACAGCCTAGAAATATGTAAAGGAACTATTCATGAACAGGCTAGAAATATGTAAAGGAACTGTTCATGAACAGCCTAGAAATATGGAAAGGAACTGTTCATGAACAGCCTAGAAATATGGAAAGGAACTGTTCATGAACAGGCTAGAAATATGTAAAGGAACTGTTCATGAACAGCCTAGAAATATGGAAAGGAACTGTTCATGAACAGCCTAGAAATATGTAAAGGAACTGTTCATGAACAGCCTAGAAATATGGAAAGGAACTGTTCATAAACAGGCTAGAAATATGCAAATGAACTGTTCATAAACAGGCTAGAAATATGTAAAGGAACTGTTCATAAACAGGCTAGAAATATGCAAAGTAACTGTTCATAAACAGGCTAGAAATATATAAAGGAACTGTTTATTAACAGCCTGGAAATATGTAAAGGAACTGTTCATGAACAGCCTAGAAATATGCAAAGGAACTGTTCATAAACAGGCTAGAAATATGCAAAGGAACTGTTCATAAACAGGCTAGAAATATGTAAAGGAACTGTTCATAAACAGCTAGAAATATGGAAAGGAACTGTTCATGAACAGCCTAGAAAAATGAATAGGAACTGATCATGAACAGACTAGAAATATGTAAAGGAACTGTTCATGAACAGCCTAGAAATATGCAAAGGAACTCTTCATGAACAGCCTGGAAATATGTAAAGGAACTGTTCATGAACATGCTAGAAATATGCAAAGGAACTGTTCATGAACAGCCTGGAAATATGTAAAGGAACTGTTCATAAACAGCCTAGAAATATGTAAAGGAACTGTTTATAAACAGGCTAGAAATATGTAAAGGAACTGTTCATAAACATGCTAGAAATATGTAAAGGAGCTGTTCACGAACAGCCTGGAAATATGTAAAGGAACTGTTCATGAACAGGCTAGAAATATGTAAAGGAACTGTTCATGAACAGCCTAGAAATATGGAAAGGAACTGTTCATGAACAGCCTAGAAATATGGAAAGGAACTGTTCATGAACAGCCTGGAATATGGAAAGGACCTGTTCATGAACAGCCTAGAAATATGTAAAGGAATTTCATGTTAGATTCACAACCGTAGCCGTTAAGCACCTATTTATGATGATCTTTTGCAAGAAAATAAGGATATCACTATCGGCCAATGTGAATCAGATAATACAAATGGAGGGTCACGAGAAACCAAGTTATGGGCGATAGGATAACTAGTTCCTCAGCAGTACAAATAATTTACAGAAACTAGTTCTTCAGCAGTCCTAATAATTCACAGAAACTAGTTCTTCAGCAGTCCTAATATTTCACAGAAACTAGTTTCTCAGCAGTCCAAATAATTCACAGAAACTAGTTTCTCTGCAGTCCAAATAATTCACAGAAACTAGTTCTTCAGCAGCCCTAATAATTCACAGAAACTAGTTCTTCAGCAGTCCAAATAATTCACAGAAACTAGTTCTTCAGCAGCCCTATTAGCCACAGCTAAATATACGCTATAACCCTATCGCCAATACCTGTAGTCTACCTTGCAAGAAACGAAGTAAAAAGTAAAAAAAAATAATCAAAAATATTCACCTTGATCATTTCAAAACATCCCCCAGGACAAGTCACATCAAATCTATTTTTATACCAATCTGGACCTCTATGATAGTCCAGTGAATAGATAGTTCCCAGATCATGGATTGTATTCCTAGGATCACATCGATCAAAAGGGATTTGTTGGGCTTTCCCGCGACAAGGAGCTCCACCATTGGATTGTGCAGGACAGTTTGGTATTCTTACTCTAGTTGGATGTATACCATTTCCATTAGTCCATGGACACCAGTTGCAGTTCACAGGGGTTCTACACACTCTTCTTTTGCAAGGTCGTTGATCAATTTCCTCATCATCACAATCCTCTAGACCACGGCATACTCGTGTTCGCAGTTTCATTCCTCCACCGCAGGTTACTGAACACTTAGACCACCTAGACCAGGAGGGACAGCGGTTAAAAATACAATCTTCTTCTTCTTCTTGATCATTAGGATCCCCTGAACATGATCCTCGTCGGGTGCAGGTTCTTCTCCTGAATCTTCTGCTGTTTCTTCCACAGGATCTAGAGCACCTTGACCAGGGCCCCCAGGGGCTCAAATTATCCTCATTCTAAGGTATGAGATTAAGTCAAACAGAGATGGAATTTAAAGAATTTGAGCCGCGGTTTAAATCCGCCAAAACCCGGTTTAAATTAAGCGCCGGCTTAAATCTTGAAACATTTGATAAATTTTAAGTGGAACCAACCATATTTAAGCCGCGGCTTAAATTTAAACCGCCCCTCAAATTCTTTAAATTCGGCCACTGGAGGCTAAACCAATAAAGACTTATATACAATTTCAATCTTAATAGTATAAAAAATTTTTTTTTTGTACGTAAAGAGAGTGACCGTGGTTAAGAAAGGAAGTGTAAGACATTCCAGAAAAAAAAGTTATGTGTTTTTTATGTATTTCACAGTTTCACAGCTTTGGGCTAAAAAACTCAGTTTGAAGGGACTAGCGACGTTATTTTATCTTGAGAAGTGTCCTCTCCGGAGTAAAAATAAAAATTAAAAAAACACAATTGAAATTAGTCAATTTATCAAATAAATTGGCAGGGAGAATAGTCATTGTTTTGTTTTATTTTCCTTTGCCTCTTTACACCTCCTCTAAAACTCACGAACAGTCTTTTTTGAAAAAAAAATCTCAATTTACACTTTTTTTAGGATCACATTCAGGAAACTCTCCTCCAAAACTGCATGTACATCTGTAGGCATTGCGACCTTAAAAGTAGGCCATGAAATGGGTTTTAATTTCTAAAATATGTTGTTCTGCTAAAATTAGGATATTTATACCTTTCTTTGTACAGGCCCCATTTCTACCACAAACATCTCTACATTTACTACATTCACCATCACTATTTCTTCCATACATGCATGTACATTCTCCATTGAGTTCCACTTCAAATGGTTCACATTTCTTCACATTACAGTCCGGAGGGAAACCTCCCAGGTTACACATGCATTTTTTATCACTTAGATCACAGTACTCTTCCTCCGAACAATTTGGTTGACAATCCCTGGCACTTCCCTTGTTTATATTACAGACAGGGTAGGTTGTCCTACCGTTTTTACACAAACACATCTTGGTTTTGGGATGGCAGTAGCCTCGATCAGTCAAACAATCAGAGTTCTTTTCGCAATCCATTGACTCCTTTAAAAACTTGTTTTTCAGAAAATTATTTTAGTTATTAATAATTTTTACCTTGTCTTCCTGAGCTTGAGATACAGTTAAAATTACCTGTAATTAAAGGAACAGTAAACGACATGTCCGATTCTCAATTAGAGATACCGGAATGGTACGGGAAAGCTGAGAATGAGATATTCATGGTATGCTCTTAAAAAAAATTGTTTTTAATTGCGGTTGTTCTACATAAATTAACCTCGCATTTCTCCTGCAGAAACAATGTGAGGAAATTATGATGGTTGATCAAGCAAAATAGAAAGACAATGACTTCCACATTGTGGATAAAAACAGGTTTAAAGAGTACTGCTGTTAATTGGACATGCCCAGTTCTTAAAAATTAAAATAGCTAAATAATCCATTTATCTTAAAATCAAAATTAAAATATCAGATTACTTTTGTTTGGTAACTCACCACTAAACAAAATATTCTGCATTTCAAGAGAATCATTATAAACTAAAATAAAACTAAACAATATATTTATAAGCCTTATATTCTTTATAATGATGTTATTTAAAAACTACCAAATTCAAAACATTTCTTCATAAACAATGGAAATCATCAATTCATTGATTCCTTAGGAAAAAAATAAATAAACCATATTTACATTAATCTTTTTTATGATTTTAAATATACCTTAAAAGTAATAGTTAAATGATAGAGGACGCGAGGACGGTCTCTAGTGTAAGGATAACTTTTTCAGTATATATATTTTCTCATAACAGGTTTAAGTAAATGGCCAGTCTTCCACAAAATGGCATTTTTTCCCTCAAAAAATGAAACCAGCTATGCCTTTACAACTAAAGCATTGAAAACTCATTTGAATTTTACCATACCAATTTGTAGGCAGCTAGACCAGGTAGTACACCGGAAAAAGGGAGCGTTACACCAAATAAATCATCCCTTTTGGAGAGATTGCTGTTTCAACAGATTCTTTAAACAATTTAGCAAGTTTTTTTTTTGTTTACAATGAAAGCGCTATTTGTTGTACATTTTTCCTAACGATATAAAAAGTATGTTACAAAAGTGAAATGCAGCCTTGTAGAGCTAGATTTTAAGTATTAAAATAAAAACCATGATTTTTTTCATTAATGACCATGATAAGTTTTTTTATATGAAAATTACAACATTTGATATTTTTTGTCATGCTTTACAAAAATTCAGGAAAAAGACACTTTTTTGTAATTTGTAATTCTCTCAACACTGAAAGAGTTAATTTTAAAAAAAGAGTTGTTTATGTTCAATTCTTTAAAAGGTTTAAAGACCCCTCCTTAAACAAGCCGTCCCCCCCTCCCCCACCCCCCGATTTACGCAAAAGTTCGTAATTAGTTCGACCCCCACCACCACTTTATACACATACATCTAAACAGTTTGTTTTTAACCATTGTGACAGAAACAATCTCAAGAAATAATAATTGTCTTAAAACATTTTTTTTAAAAGTGAATATTTGAAAATGACCTTTTTTCCATCTCATAATCTGAGTTTGTTTCCCTTACGTCCATTTGACAGCCCAAATTTTAATTTTGAATAATCTTTTTTCTTTGTTTATTTTCTTGTGATTTTTAACAAAAAAAATTGTTTGTTTTTTTAACCGATTTTGATGGTTATTATTTCGTTAGAATTGACGAGGTTCAACCCAGACCAAAATATATTTACAATAAATGTAGAACTAACATCTACTTTTTTTACTCTACAGAGGTTTGGTCTATCACCATCACCGAATTTTACTTGAATATTGCTAGTGTTTCTGCCCAAACCTCACTTAAAAAGCTAACTAGTTAAAGAGAAAAAGTATATTTCAATGTTTTCCAATGAACAGAAATGCATTTCCAGATAGTTTAACTCAATATTCAATAAAACTTTCAAAATAGTAAGTTTAATTTTCTACTGCAACCATTTTAGTTCATTTCTCCAGATTAAAAAATTTCTTTCCATTAAAAATGAATAATATGGTTTCTTTCTGTTTGCTTCTTGAATCATTTAGATTGCTTAACTCTATAAAGGTTGGGGGTTTGAATCTTTGTATTGCCTTGGAGAGGGGGCGTCCCAAGCCCCCTCCCCCCCCCCCTAAAAAAACCTTAGAATAAAGGAAAAGGGTTGCAATTCAAGTTCATAGCCCAAATTTTTAAGCTCATTGAAAAAAATTTAAAAAAATGCCCAATAAAGGCTCGGAAAAATGTAAAAAATATTTTGTTTCTGTTTTCAACAAATATCAAGATGTGACACATGTTTCTACCATATACTTTTATGGGCTTTTTAAAAAATGTAGTTTTTAGATCTGTAGCTTAGTCACAAAAACTTTTTGAACAATTTTAGATTTTTTTTTACACGAACCAGAGTTTTCCCCGCCCTGTATCCTTTACCCTACCCGTGTTGTCGGATAGAAACAAGATTCTCAAGTTGAACAGATAAACAACAGAATAACCCTCAAATCAAAACAGATAATGAAGAAATTCTCTTTATTTACTGAAAAAAATATAAAATTGTTACAATGAATGTATATAATGAAAAGATTCTTACGATCAATTTTGTGATACCAAAGGGTAGTTGGACAGTCCTAAGACGTTTTTAAACTTCTGAAAAGAATGACAATTAATTATTAACGAAAGTCACTAATTCTTTATGTGAAAATATTCTTTGTTTAACTTTTGAAAAATGGATGGATTCACAATGCTTTAGGTTATTTACACTCCGATAAGGAGAACAAAGGATCCGGAGGCTAAAATTATTTGGTTTGGGTTTTAGTGTCTCCGAGAGTGGATCTAAGTTAAAGACGACTTTACACTGATTATGGTTAATGGTTGACAACCCGATGCATGAAAAAAGTTTACAAAAATTGTTTAAATTAATATTCCTTCCAGGTTCCCAAAATTAGGATGCTAGAGCAAAAAAGGTGTTTAGGGTTAAAATCATTGAATCATTCATGATGAATTTTACTACATTATTTAAAAAAGTATTTAAATTTTAAATCCATAAATTGTATTGAAAACTCTCTTTTGTAATTACATTATTTCATTTTTTCAAATTCTTTATAAATTTTCCAATATGTTTCATATATATGTTTTTTTTTACAGTCTCAGGCGAATTTTGTGTTTCTACATCTACAGGAACACATGTTTTCGTTTTCTCATTTCTCAAATCTCGCTTGGAACTAACTGATTTCTTCGTAAAATTGCACCTTAACCATTAAAAAACTAATTTTTTTAACACAAATTAATATTACAAAATCCATATAAAGAGTTCATACAGTTTTCTAAGCACTCTGTCTGTATATATTTTTTTCAAAAACTAGAATAAAGTTTTGTATAAGCATAGTATTGCCGGTGTCAAACAAGATGTTTAATAAACTTTTAAAGGCACAATTCTATAAATCCCTGATTAATTGTTTCTGTTTAGTTTATGTATATTGTTTATATACATGAAATAAGTAATTTGTTAGTTTAATGATGTTTCTCACAATATATGGAATATATTGTATAGTGGTCAGTTACTTAGAAATCATTAAATTCTAAGAACAGTAAAAGATTAATTTAAGTCAGACAAGTTGGTTAAACAAAGCATGAAATTTAAAGTTTTTTACTGATGTAAATTATTCTATGTGAAACTACTTTTAATTGATTGACAAAGTATCAAAATTCAATTACAATACTAAAGTAATTTTACTACTTTTCAGATTAAAAGTAAAAATACTAAATAAAAAATTTTACATTCAGGGTCTAGTTCATAATGTGGAAGGCCAGGAGGAGGTAATAATTAATCAAATCACAAAAAAATGAAAAAATTGTGATATAAATGTTTTTTTTTGTCCTTCTATAAATTTTCTTTTTAATGGTGATGAATCACTTTTTTTGTTTATTTTCTGTAACATTTAGCCCTTGTACAGTTTAAAACTTTAGCAGACTAATGTATACAATAATAATGATAGTCATATAAAAATTTCCTTGCGTACAAAACATCAAAAAATCAAAAGTTAATGCTAAAAATGTATTAATATATAATGGAACTTTTAATCCCTTGTTTTCTGTTAAGATTGAGCATGAATTGAATTATAAATGTGTTTTCTAATTGAGTTGATCTAAAAACAGTACACAGTACACAACTACTAATGTATTAATATATAATGGAACTTTTAATCCCTTGTTTTCTGTTAAGATTGAGCATGAATTGAATTATAAATGTGTTTTCTAATTGAGTTGATCTAAAAACAGTACACAGTACACAACTACTTACAGGAATCAATGGCATGCAAAGAGAACTCAGATTGCAACGAGGACCGTGGATACTGCCACCCCAAATCTAAATTATGCCTCTGCAAAAATGGTGCCTCCACATATCCAGCTTGCAATGGAGAACGAGGAAATGGTTGCCAGCCTGAATGTAGGGATAACCAGTTTTGTGACTTGAAAACCAAAATATGCATGTGTACTCTCGGGGGGTTTACCAAGAATTGTAATACTAAGAAATGTCCTCCTTTTCGTATGCTTAATGGTTCTAAGTGTGAATGTATGTATGGGACAGAAAATGGAAGATGTAGAAAATGTAGACAGGATTGTGGACAATATGCAACTTGTGAAAAACGAGGTTAGTAACAAGGTTGAGGACATAATCTTAACATTTTGTTACTGACATCGAACTATCGAAACCATTTCAATATACCTGACATTTCATTATGAACATCACCTTATACATTTCTAAGACTGTCATAAGTTTGGATATAATATTCGTTACATTACAAATATTTCCATAATTGAATGCTCATAACCATATGGAGCTCTTTAAAACTGTTTCCGTATATTTCATGGCAATTTATTTTTTCTACGATTACTGAGATTTATGTATAATCTATATATAAATTTGGCTTGTCTGTTTGTCTGTTTGTTTGTTTGTCTGTTTGGGTGTCTTTGTGTTTGTATCCAATAAACGTCAAAACGGCTGAACCGATCGGGCCCAAATTTGTTTGTGGGACATCTAGGGACCCCAGGGAAGTTTTATGAAAAATCAAAATTTCAAATATTTGTCTCCATCAAAATTCAATCGTCATTAAATTTTTAAAAACTTTGAAAATCCGCGAAATTTTTTGTGAAAATCCGCGAATTATTTTTGTTTTGTTTTACGATGTACACAAAGAGAACATATTCACAATTAATTTAGAAGATGGGCGCGAAGCGCCCTCTAAGGCTAGTCTATATATAAATTTGGCTTGTCTGTCTGTTTGTCTGTCTGTCTGTCTGTCTGTTTGTATCCAATAAACGTCAAAACGGCTGAACCGATCGGGCCCAAATTTTTTGTAGGACATCTAGGGACCCCAGGGAAGGTTTATGAAGGATTGAAATTTTAAATATTTGTCTTCATCAAAATTCGATCTTCATCAAATTCGTTTAAATTTTGAAAATCCACGAAATTTTTGTGAAAATCCGCGAATTATTTTTGTTTTGTTTTACGATGTACACAAAGAGAACATGTTCACAATTAATTTAGAAGATGGGCGCGAAGCGCCCTCTAAGGCTTGTAGTATAAATTTCACTGAAAAATGGTAAAGACGACATTTTATAAATTCCTTTGATGTATCCGAAGTTCTGGGTTAAACTGTAGGTAACTAGTTCGATAGTGGGAACAAATTGTCAATGTTTTAGGAGTTAAAACATACACCCTGGGCGTAATCAGATGTACTGGAAATGTCGTCTTAATAACAATGGATACTCAATGTACTAGACGACATTCTCAGTACAACGGAATGCAGGGTTACTCACAAAGGACGTGTTTTGCAAAGACGTGTTTTGATACTTTTCAAATCCTTTAAATTAAGCATTCTGCATTAAGTTTGGTCTTTAAATGGTTTATTTAACATTTGCAAAAAAAATAAGTTTATTAAAGTGGCAGGGAATCATGCATATAAAGAAACAGACTCAAAGGTCTCGTCTTGTGGCTAACCCTGTACAAGTTGAAAAACTTATCTAGATAACTAATTACTATATAACTAAAATTAGTGTAAAATTGTCTAAGATTCTTCATTTATAATGAATTGTTAAGAATCTTTTGTGAAAATGTTGGTATGAATTTGTTTACCTTACTTGTGGGTAAAATCAAAACCATTAAGGAGCGACAAGATTACAATTAATTAATTTGACTTTCTTCTCCTGTCTTGTGTTTGATTTCTAATAGTTTGACTCCATTTAACCAACCTGAGTTTTAAATGTGTAAAACAATTAATGCAATATTTATAGTGTCATAGTTTTCAATTACAAAAATAAATCAAACTTTCAGCTACATGCCACAAAACATGAAAGTTGGTAAATAGTTTTGAATGTCGTCTTCCATACACTGTATTAGATATTAAAAAATCTTTTGCTCAAATACATTTTACTTTGAAGTTAATTTTACTAAAATGTGACTCCTATGTAATATTTTTATTATTGTCTTTGGTATTAAACAACTTAACATATTATGGAAGAAGACATTCTAAACTATTTACCAACTCTTATGTTTCGCGGAACAACCTGTATCAGAACTTGTTTTTTAAACAATAAAAACCAGATAACTGTGTAATTATTTTAATGAGCATGAGCCAAATCATCTTATTGTTCACAAACCAATCAATTATGATTTAAACCCATCCTTCAGTAAAACTATTTGCGACATCAATTATGCCTATATATATAATCTTGAATATCGTCTTCCAATTCCACAGTATTTTGGTTCTCACTAAAGTATCATGATTTAGGTAAAAATGATTACAAGTGTGTGTGTCAAAATGGTGGGAGAGCTCCAAGATGTAAACCAGAGCAACCCGATGTGAGTAAATAAAGAAATATGAAAAAACAACACTCAAAAACATAATTTAATTGCTGTACTAGAAATTCAATTTTTACAATTTTCATTTAAACTTTAACTGTTTTCAAAGAAGATTCCAAGCCTCATGGCTATAGTTCTACTTTATTTAGAATGTTGGAGAATGGGAGAGCTGGGCAAGATGGTCTTCATGCTCTGAAACTTGTGGACGAAGAAGTGTAAAAACTAGGTCCAGAGAATGCAAAGAAATAGGAACATGTCAAGGGGACTATGATCAAGAAATTTCCTGTGAATTAAGACCCTGTCGAACTCGTAAACCTCCTGTTAATTGCGGTTGGTGTCAATGGAGTCCTTGGACTGGTAGATGCGGATCAGCATCAAGGGTGCGGGCTCCAAGTTGTCCACCTCCTAGGCGTGGAGGGGCACAGTGTGTAGGGCCCCCTGAAGAGAAAAGGGATGGTGGATTTGGTCAAGACTTTCAATCTCAAGACTTTCATAGAGGACGGGATTGGAGTAAAAACTTATTTGATGTTACATGCCCTGGTGGATGTTTCGAAGTTGTAAAGGTTATATAAATAGTTAGTTATGTTTAGACCAAGAGGTCGTATCTGGGCCGTTGTGGATGGGGGGGGGGGTAGGCGGTCCCCAGAACATGGGGTCGGGTCGTGAAATTTAATGTTTCCTCACCCAAACTGTACAACAGCAATCAAATTTTGTTTTTCCCCTGGTAGTTGTAACACTTCATAAAAGAAAATTGCTTCCTACCTTGCACTTATAAATTGAATCCTGCATACGCCACTCTGGTTGACACTTTCTTTACGTATCCTTGCATGGAACAAAAATAACTTTTTTTATTTCACTAAAAATCATTAATTAACTTCTTCCTCTCAATTTGCAACAGGATTAAGTTCTTAGTAACAAACAGGATAAAATAATGTGTATCCTACCTTTAGGCTGTATTTGATTGTGAAGGAAGAATGCCTACTGAAGATGAAATGCGAAGAGTGGCGGAGATATGCAATGGAAAAGAAAGATGTCAGTTTGTACCAGGACCACTTTTCTTTGGAAGAAACGTTAATTGTGGTTGGAATAAATATCCAGCAACTTGGGTTGACTGGAGATGTAATGGAAATAATAATCAAATGATTATTAAGCACAACTTCCAGGACCCACAACCGCCACCGCGACCGCAACCAAAACCATTGGTATTATGGCCATGGTGGGGATAAATATCTCATTTTACTATCTAAATTTGACACCATCAAAATTTGTAGTATGTATAATCAATTCGTCTAATTTTAGATGAAAAGTAATAAAGCAAATACTTTAATCATTTAAAAATACACAAATAAAATATCCTAATTTGTAGTGCACAGATTTTTCAAGAACATTGTTTGAAAAGTATAGAAATAAATACAACTTAAACGCCAGGATTGGAATTAGAAATTTAGATTAAAGCCCTGATAACCTTTTAAAGTTTTTTTGTGGTTTCAAAAATATTTCTACTAAACTAGTTCTTTTTCAAGGTTGCTTAATCTTTCTGCATATTTTCTTTGATGAAACAGTAATAAAAAATTGCAGATTTACAATTTTGTTTTCGTGGATTTTCAAAATGTTAAGAAAATCAAATTTTTTTGGAGACAACGTTTTGTAATTTTGGCATTCATAAAACTTCCCTAGGGTCATGTCAGGTTGTTGGCCTACTCGGTTGGTCTGTTTTGCCCTTATTATAGGTTACAAACTGAAAGACAGACAAACATACAATTTGAATTCCCATGTCAAAATTAAAAATATTGATTTTTCATCAATACCTCCTTAATTATGTATAGATCAAACAAAGCTTTTAAGGTTACTGGTGTGAATCGGACACTCTTTTATTTTAAATGCAAGTTTACAGCTACAATGAACCCAGAAGAAGAAGAATAGTTGAACCAGCTCTATCTAATTCAATTAGTTTTCTAAATACCAAGAATCCTTCATATATGTATTATGCTGATCATCCAAGGTGCTCTGAACCTCTCTTCATATAATTGATTTATCTTTTATATCCAAGTCCTCTGCATATTATACCCAAAAACGTTTTAAAGTCGTAAATTTTTTTGTCTCTATAAGTGGGTTTACCCAAATAAATGTCCACATACTTTATTCCCAAATTCATTCCATTCAGTCCAAAAATCTTAACTGAGGTCATGCAAGGTCCGAAACTAAAATTTTGACTCGATCATTTTTCCCGTTTTAAAGTTTAGAACATGCACTCAAACAAACACAGGCATTACAAAGTTATATGTACGATAAATGATGTTTACAGATATATATACTAGCTTGGGAACCTAGCGCTGGCAAGGTTACAAAAAGTTACTGCTGCCGTTTACCCGCGCTTAAATGATTTTACTGGGATACTAAATTTTCACTATCAAAGTCGACCCACTTAAAGCTTCCATTCGCAAAGGTTTTGCGCAATTTTTGCAAAAGAAATCGCAAATTTTTGCTTTCGTTGCTCAACATTTTTGCACGAAAAAATAGCACTTGTCGCAATTATTCATCAACTTCATTTCGCGCAAAATTGCACTAATCCGCTTTTGCATTACTCTGTTTTGTAATTTTCAGTAAACGGTTGAATACAGCTAGGTGTAAACTGTATTAATTAGTTATCTATGAAACTCCACCTTTTTGAATATGATTGTAATGCTTAAAAAGAAAAAGATTACTTGCCTAAAACTCTATTTAACAACCTAATGCATGATGGCACACTGCAAATCAAGATTTATTCAAAAGTCGAGCAGTATTTTTGCCAATTACTCATTTTAAAGTTAGGAATGAAACAAACGCGAAGCATTTTAAATGTATATGTCTAGGCCTACAAAAAACAGTATCAGTGAGTTGATGAGGTAAAACCAAAGGCCAAGGCATTGCAACGCTTCAAAGTCAAGACTGTGTAAAAATTTGATGACTAAGTTTCAATGGGCATAGACCTTTGATATTTCAATCATATGCATTCGACTAGAAGTAGTCAACCTATGAGATATCAAAGGCTTCCACCACACAAAGATTCAGACTACTATAATTACTATTCATCAATTTTAAATTTCTAAATTTCTAATTTCTGTTTCATTGAGAGTATATAGCATAATTGATTTGTATGTAAATTTTCGAATAAATCTTCAGTTGTTTGATTCTGTGCTAAAACTGTCAATTTTGGTCAATTTGCAATAACATGTTTTCCGAAAAATTTGCGTTTTACGAAATCTACCGGTTTTGCACAAATTACGCAAAATGAAATGGCACAAAAACTGGAAATCCTAGACCCACTCAACTTAGAAAATCAAAACCAGGCTAACAACATGTCAGTGGGTCTCCAGAGCTCCCCAATCCAAGGATTGGATTAATTCTGAGATTTGCATTGTTTAGTCCAATTATTTTTCACTTAGAAGCAGCTATAATATTGTTCTTACTAATCCTCTTTGATAAATATTTCAAATATAGATTTAAAGTATTTAACTATTGAAGTATTTAAGTCGATGTAGTTAAACAATGTTTCTCACAAAATGTGGATTATTTTGTTTAATGGTCAGTCTTGAAAACTGAATATTAAACTTATTCATTGAACAATTCTCTTGATATATTTGTGGTTCTTTGATATGTTTAATTTATACTTAAAAAATCCTGAAAAATATATTATTTATTCAAGAAAAGTTTAAAATTTCTTTAAACCTTTTAAAAGCATGCATGATCGAATGAAAAAAATAATTGTTGAAGTTGATCATAATGTTAACCTTTAAATCATTAAGAAATACTTTTATGATTGTTAATTCTTATTTCCATATTTATACATCTTCAAGTAAAATCTGATATCATTTTCAGGTTTTTGTTCATGGGCAGAGAAAGGTAAGAAACATGTTGAATATCAAAATAAATTCAATTCTTGATAACATCATCATTATTTCAGGAAACTATTTTTTCCTTATAAATATTTCATTTCATGTCTCTGTTTTACTTTCATACATATTTTTCTGGTTCCATTGATGGATTTCTAAGAAACTTCAAAATCAAAATTAAAGCCCAATCGGATCTGCCGTTTTTCCGTTTATTGGAAACAAATAAACCAAGCTGACAATTTTTTTCGTAAATTATATATTTGAAATTTTGCAGATCCGTCTATTATTAAATTGTGTCCAGTTTTATATGCATTGCAAAACATTAGTGTTTAATGGATACAATAAAAGCTGCCTAAAGGACTTACCCGCGCTAGCCGCATTGATTTAAAAGAAAGAGAGAGATTATTTTAAATTTCAGGGTTGGGTCAGGTTAAGATTCTTTCTTGCCCGAGCGCTGCGGGTAGGACAGGCTAAGTGGTCGAGTGCTGCGGTTACAACAGGCACTCTCTATGTCTTGTATTTCATCGCGGCATGCATGTAAATTCTTTGGGCTTCTGCCTGAAAAAAACATTTTAAGATAAAGACATCTTTAAATGATCAGGAATCTATGGACTGTAAAGAAAACTCTGATTGTATGATGGATCGTGGATATTGCCATCCTTCTTCTAAAATGTGTTTGTGCAAAAATGAAGCGTCAACCTATCCAGCCTGCACTATTCAAGAAGGAGACGTATGTGATCCTCAATGTAAGGAGAAAGAATTTTGTGATTTAAAAACCAAGAAATGCATGTGTTCCCTTGGAGGCTTCACGCTAAACTGCAATACAATGGTATGTCCTGAATTTCAAGTTCAGCGTGGTATAAAATGTTCCTGTATGTATGGGGAAGAGAATGGAAAATGTAGTAAATGCAAAGACGAGTGTGGAAGCAATGAGGAATGTAGGAACCAAGGTTAAGACTTAAAAACTAACCAAACATTACATTCATGCTGGCAATTAAATATTACGTAGAATTAACTCATACTGTATACAACCAGTTGGATACAGTTACCGCACTTTTAACAGTTAGAAACTGACAACTTTTTGAAATTGTTTTAATAATCAAAATTATTTATTTAATTTCGAAATTTGAAAATATCATTGCACAAAACTTTCCTGATTTAGAATTTGCACACCAATTTAGCTTTTTCTGTTTTTTTGCGTTGTCGTATGCATTGTTTTACTAAAAAGCCAATTAAATTTCAAATTTCATGAAGTGACATATATTTTTATATGTTTGTGTCCTTATTAGAACGTTTTTTTCTCAATCAGTAACTCTGGTATCGTGATTCCGTGATTCTGCGAAATATGTGCAAATTTTAATTCAAATCAATACTGGAACAAGTACTTGCCTCACACACTAATTTTCTAAATCTTATACCTCACTTACATGAACCAAAGTATGCACGCTCTTTTGCTATTAGTGATCAGAATTTCACTCTTTTTACCATTATCGATCCTCTTTTGATCTAAAGATAGAAATAATCTAATTGAAGATTTAAAATGTGAACTATCTACCGCCAGCTTAAATATTAAATCACAGATTAAAAGTTAAAATATTTTCATTTCTTGTGTTTACCCAAATATACTGTTACAATTCATTTAATATTTTTATAATAATCTTTGTGCATGAATAAGTATACACATTACACACATAGTAAAAAGTAAAAATTAAATATATATATATATATATAGATATTTCTGAAATGGTTGGAAGGTTTTTTCATAATTCATGATTTAGGTGGAAAAAAGTACAAATGTGTTTCAAAAGACAGAAGGAAAATCAGAAGGAAATCTCCAAACTCGAAACAAAAAACCCCGAAAAAACAAGAAAAGCCTTCAGAGCGGAAAACGTGTCAAGTAAGTATAGTTTGAAATAAAACTTGTCAAGTGATTCTCGCTGTTAACCAGCAAATCAGTCCTAAGCCTTAAGTTGCATAAGCATGACTTTTTTAGCCGGCACTTTTAAGTTAAAAAAGAACTCATTTTTGCATCTAACCCAAGGAGGTAATGCAAGGAAAGTTATTTCAGAAGTGTACGCATCTTTTATACTGCAGTGTACTGTCTCTGGGCGGTAATGCAAACACAAGACGGATGTTACAGCCTGACATGGGATCCATCTTTCACATAAAAATATCAATGAAATATTCTAGTCATAGGAAACTATAATTATGTGAATTTTCAAAATTATCAAATCTAATGCTTTTAACCTTTTCGGATCCTAAACGAACACTGATGCATCTATTCTTGTTTACAAATTCCGCCCAAAGAGAACTGGTTTCAACATGTACGCAGAGTATACACGACTTCAATTAGCTTTCTTTGCATTTTACCATTGATTTAACCTAACATCTCAGATATTAAAGGATGGATGCAAATTTTAGAATAAATTGGTCGGCAAATTTTATGGGTGGGAAAAGGTGGATTTTTACTACTCATAAACATTTTATATAGAAGTAAGGCCTGCCGGGTCACAATTAAAGCAAATGGTTAATTCAATGCCCACCTCAATTTGTAATTAAAAGTAAACTCCACTTTTTTTACAAAAATATAAAAAAAAAATTTATTCATATTTTTATATTTGTGGTTTGGTAAAAATTTAAAATGACAGATAAGAAAACTAATTCAAAGTTAAATTTTATGTAGCTGATGTTGTTACAAAGCTTACAAGTCTACTTGATACTAAAGTAGGTCTGTGCACACTGCACAAATGCTGTGTTTTCTGTTCATTGAATTAAAAAATCAAAACTTACAGTTTGGCAATCATATTCCAATTCCACAGTTTTATTGGCCCCACTGTAGTTGCTGTAGTTGAGACTGCAAGAAAATGCCTAAACTCCTCCTTGGTCTTTACCAGCCTAAATATGCTGTTTAAAAGGGAATGTTCGCGAAAAATGAAAGGGGGTATAGGCTTACTGCGATGAATAATCGCTTCTGATTGCTACTAATCTTACTTCTATCTGTTGCGTCTATGGAGAAAATTGTTAAAAACGTCCCACTCAACGTAAAATTTGAGGCAAATCGGTCTAGGTGTTTATGAGTTTTGATCAGGCATCCAAACAAATAGACAGACAGAAAAACAGAGAATATCCGGAAATTCCTTCTGAACTAGATTTCTTGGTTTTCTGAACAGAAACTAAATGAAAAAAACACTTCATATAAAACACCCTGTACTAGTGACATGGAAACGCCTCAACACGGAAACCCCTCAACACGGAAATGCCTCAAAAAAACAGAATCATAAAACTAATTTAATGTCGTCTTCTCTCAACTTAAAATTAAAAAGACTATATTCTAACGATTTCCACAGCCATGGCCGCAGCGCTCGGCCTCCTAGCCTATTCTAGCCTCAGCGCACGGACCACTTGCCTGTCCTAGTCGCAGCGCTCGGCCCCCTAGCCCATCCCAGCCACAGCGCTCGGCCCCCTCTTTAGCCTGCCCCGCAACCTAACTTACCCTAAATTAATGATAAAATAATTGTTAAAATATTTTTTTAATGAGAGAAGACGACATTAAATTAGTTTTATGAGTCCGTTTTTGAGGCATTTCCGTGTTGAGGCGTTTCCATGTCACCCCTGTACGGTGTTGTTTATGAGATCTATTGTGATTAGAAAGTTGAAAGCTGGGGGAATTGGAGTAGTTGGACGGCATGCTCTCAGCCCTGTAAAAAAGACAGTGCTAAATTTAGATCTAGAGAATGTAAAACACAAGGTTGTTGTGGTGGAGAGGGTACTGATCAAGAAACCGCCTGTAGACCAGAAGATTGTGGGCTTGATGTGAAAAATTTTGGGTTTTTCCCATTAAATTTAAAAAAACAGCAAAAGCCCTTAGAGCGGAAAAAGTGTCAAGTAAGTATATTTTGTAACGAAATTTGTCAAGCGATGTTAACCAAAAAAATAATCAACCTTGATTTGCATAGGAATAACCTTTTTAGCCACCACTTTCAAATTAAAAAAAAAACTAATTTTTGCATTTAAAGGAAACCTAATCAGATTAATGATTAATGATATATGACAATTTCATAACAAATCAGTCGACAAAAATTATGGGTCGTATTTCTGTGTTTGAAAAAGTTGATTTTTATCTCATTACTTGTTTATGATCGCAAGTTCAAATTGGCTCCATGTTTAGAAAGTTGAAAGCTGGGGGAATTGGAGTAGTTGGTCGGCATGCTCTCAGCCCTGTAAAGAAGACAGTGCTAAATTTCAAACTAGAGAATGTAAAACACCAGGTTGCTGTGGTGGAGAGGTTACTGTTCTAAAAACCGCCTGTAGACCAGAAGATTGTGGGCCTGATGTGAAAAAGTTTGGAGTTTTCCCATTCAATTTAAAAAAACAGCAAAAGCCTTTAGAGGGGAAAAAGTGTCAAGTAAGTATATTTTGTAAAACATTTTTAAATCAAAATTCTTGATGTTAATCAAAAAATAATCAACCTTATTTGCATAAATATAACTTTTTTAGCCACCGCTTTCCAGTTAAAAAAACAACCAATTTTTGCATTTAAAGGAAACTTAATTAGATATTAAAGGATCGATAACTATTATATAATAAATCAGTCGACAAAGTTTATGGGTCGTATTTCTGTGTTTGAAAAGGTTGATTTTTGTCTCATTATTACCCTCTATGTATTTATGATCGCAAGTGCATAATACGACTCCATGATTAGAAAGTTGAAAGCTGGGGGGATTGGACGAGTTGGACGGCATGCTCTCAGCCCTGTAAAGAAGACAGTGCTAAATTTCGATCTAGAGAATGTAAAACACAAGGTTGTTGTGGTGCAGGGGGTACTGATCAAAAAACCGCCTGTAGACCAGAAGATTGTGGGTCTAATGTGAACAAGTTTGGGGTTTTCCCATTCAATTTAAAACTGACACTAGGTTAATAAAAATACGATTATCACTAAATATATTTTCTTAAGTATTTTATTCTTTCGGATAAAAAGTTCTGTGACACCAATACTTAACAAGTTTGAATTTTTAATCATACAGTGTGAACTATTTTTAGTTTTTCTGAATATGAATTGTTTGTATTTATTAGTTCAATGCAGATTGATTTTACTGAATGTGAATCTAAAAATGACACCATCTAAAATTAAAAATATTTTTGAGTGCACTTTTTTTAAGTCATTTTAACAGGTTTACAGGGTTGAAACAATCTAATCTTTATTTAACTAACCTTTATGTAAAACACAAAAAAGAAGTGAGAAACTTGAGTTAACATTGTTAAAAGAGAAGAACGGTATAGTTATCTGTTCCAAATGTGTTCTCCCCTCCTTGAATCCAATATCTTTTTCCATCCAACCTCTCCTTCTTCAAGATAAACTATCTATTTACTAAAATAACTGGATATACACAAGACCAGTACAGACAGGAAACATTACTTCCAATAATTGAATTCAATTTAAACCTTGAAGAAATTTTGTAGAATTTTTCATCATCATCTAGTTAAGTGCAACAAAGGAATTGAATCTTTGAAACAAACTCTGCTTTTCTAAACCCTATATCTTTGGATTCCAATGTCGTAGACCTTATAATATTTCAAACTATGAATTCTCTTAGATCAAATAATATAAGTTTGAAGTATCAAAGATTTACGCCATTGGATTCCAAAGATATAAGGATTATAAATTCAGAGTTTGTGGCAAGGACTCAATTTCTTTGCCTACATTTTGAAGAATAAAACTATTTTGAAAGATTTTTCTGCTTTTATTGATAAAGGAATTGAGTCTTTACCAGAAACTTTATAATTTGTTCATCCCTGTATCACCCTGATAGTGAACACCAAAGATATTGCAAAATTCAGAATTCATTGTTTGAAATATCTAAGATCTACGACATTGGGTTGCAAAAACAAAGGGATTGGAAAATCATAGTTTTTGGCAAACACTTAATTTTAAAAGGAAGAAAAGCCAACTTTTTTTTCTGTGCAATATTTTTGTAATTTCGACCATTAATAAACCTTCCCGTAATTGGGTTATGTGAGTTGTGACAACATTTTTGGCTTCATCTGTTCATTTTAAATTGAAGATGCGATCGTTGTTTTTGTTTCTATGTATATATATAAAAAAGTATATATAAACTGAAGAAAAGCCTTGTAATTAAAAATAAATTTTTATTTAGTCCAGCTATAGATAATTGGTTGTCTTTAATAACGTTAAATTAAAAACTGTCCTCATTTTGATATTTTTAGACTTCAAAAAGGCGTTTGATATTTAAAAAAGAAAATTTTTGTATTGACTACTTTTTAAAAACTTTTAAGAAAAATTCCTGAATAAATAGATTCAAGAAGACATTTCTGCTAACCTTGACCCTGCACAGTGCACAGTATGGAAACCAGAAGGTAACTGGGACTGGTCATCTCCATCTCCCAGAAGGTAACTGGGACTGGTCATCTCCATCTCCATCATCATACAAAATGGGACGGGACACCAAATGAACACACACATGTTGTAAATCAGGCATTGCCCTCTTTCCCTGTGGGGTCCCTTGAAATCACTTATGTTGTGCGATTATGATTATGATTATGATTATGATTATGATTATGATTATAATTATAATTATGATTATGATTATGATTATGATTATGATTATGATTATGATTATGATTATGATTATGATTATGATTATGATTATGATTTAGAAAACAGCTAGCTCTTTGAGTTCTAGTAGATAAGGTTTATGCTGCACACACAGATTCGCTTTTTCTGAAACTTTCTAAAAATAAAAGACATAATGAAATTTAATTCTGCAATTTTTTTGTTTAAATATGTGAAAGAAAAGCGTTAGCAGAACAAAATAGAATAAAAATTTATAAAATAGAATGAATATCTAGAAAGTTCTTCCAATGACCTGGAACTCCATTGGAAACAAAATCTCTAGGCTCACTTACAAGGTTTAAAAAAGTTTTCTTTAAGAATATAGTAATTTTCATTGTATAAATCGAAATTGCTTTTCTTGCTAAATCTTAATTCTATCCCCTTTCCCCTGTTATTTTAACATAACATAATATATGAGGAATAAAGAAATGTCTGTACATTAGAATAAAGATATATGAGGAATAAAGAAATGTCTGTACATTAGAATAAAGATATATGAGGAATAAAGAAATGTCTGTATATTGGAATAAAGATATATGAGGAATAAAGAAATGTCTGTATATTAGAATAAAGATATATGAGGAATAAAGAAATGTCTGTATATTAGAATAAAGATCAAAATAAGGTGAAAGGATTCTATTTATCATAAATAGTTCACGCAATCATTATTGGTTAATCTTCAAACCTTTTGGTTCAAACAAGAATCTAAGAGGTCTGAATTTATCTAGAACTGGCTCTGAATCTGAACTTGTCAATATCTGGCTCTGAGTCTGAAGGTATCTAGATCTGTCTCTGAATCTGAACGTATCTAGATCTGTCTATGAGTCTGAATGTATCTAGATCTGTCTCTGAATCTGAACTTGTCAATATCTGGCTCTGAGTCTGAATGTATTAGATCTGTCTCTGAATCTGAACGTATCTAGATCTGTCTATGAGTCTGAATGTATCTAGATCTGTCTCTGAATCTGAACGTATCTAGATCTGTCTCTGAATCTGGATCTATCTAGATCTGGCTCTGAATCTGAATCTGGTCTTTTCAGCTCTAAATCTTAATCTGAGCCAGTGTTGGACCTATAGGAGTCTTCCGAGTACTATTTGTATTGATGAATCTAGATATGCTTCATGACCTGAATACACAAGGCCCTAGCTTAGGGTGTTTACTAAAGTTTGATTCATGGAAATGTATAAAAGTGCGCAATATACAGTTTTTACAGCCCAGATATAAATGTTAAACTTTTACATACATTTTAGATACATAGATTTGCAAGGGTGATTTGAAAATAAGTAATTCCAATTCTTACATATGGTCTTTGTAACTTTCACATGCCTCGGGAATTGATTTCACAAACCCAGGATGGAATTGCATATCAACAAGATTTCATGAAGAAATATATTAACATGTAAATTATGACATTTGAAACAGAGAAAAGATTGTAAACATTATGTTAAGCTCCTTAACAAATAAAACATACAACATTATACACTTTGTGTGCTGGGTTGTCCACCCCCCCCCCTTTTCCTTTAGTTCTAAACATATTTTTTTTCAATTTGGTTTTATTTTAATTTAACATGTATTTATCGCTGCAAAAAGGGCCTCTCATTCAAAACAACCAGCAATTGTTAGAGAGGTGCTGGCTAAATTAAATCATAAAAATTGTATACCTGTAATTGTTTTAGTCATATATTTATCTATCTATCTAATTAAAACAGATGTCTTATAACTTTTCCAGAAAATTACTAAAAGCGTAATCTTTGCTATTCTTTTAATTTACTTGTACATTCGATCATAACTCATGAACCCCTTGACTCAAATCTTAAAGGGATTGTTGAGGAAAACTGAAAGGGGGTATAGGATGAAACCTATCTGATGTTCCTGTCTTGAGAAATTGATAAAAAAAAACTGTGTCAAACTTATACGAATAGTATCGTTCAATGCCTGAGATTCTCAGGTTTCATCCTATACCCCCTTTCATTTTTCCTTTACAGTCCCTTTAATTAGGGAAGAACCACAGGAACGCTCATATATCTTGATATAAGAATTCTCAATTGGGTGGGTTGACTCTTATAAAGAAAGTATAATTTCCGAGCTAGGGTTTCCATTCACAAAACTTTTGCGCAATTTTTGCGGAACGAAACGCAATATTTTTCTTTCTTTGCGCATCAATTTTGCGCGAAAAAACAACAATTTGCGCAATCATTCGCAAAAGTCTTTTCGCGCAAAATTGCCCTATTCCGCTTTTGCGAAACTCAAGTTTTGCGCAATTCCGCAACAAGAGTTTTGCGCAAATCCACAATTCCGCAATATCGTAAAAATCAAACGGTTGGTGACGGTGTGTGTTTCTTAGAATTCAATTCTGGAAAAATCTTGTTTTGGAATGTCTTCCTATTGGTCACTTTTACATAATTGACCAATGACAATTAAGAAGAGTTCAAATCTCACAATTTTCTCGACAATTTTAGTTTTGGACATGCATATTTCCTAAAAGTGGATTCTTCAGGCATTATTTACTTTCTTGCATTATTTTATATGAGATTAAAAAGATTTCAGAAATTTGATTAAAAAATTTAAGAATACAATTCATACTTGATTAAGCAATGCTTTTAAGGCCGAGTCACTTGAAATTATTTAATAGGATTAAAAAATTGCCAAGTTTCACACTCTTTAATTTCTATTTTATTAATTTTGGTCCCTTAATTTAAACTTTTTGTAACTGGACGTAACCAATTGAGTGTAGTATAATCGTTATCATACTCGTATGTTAATATTTTTTTGTATATGGAATAATTCTTCAGTTGTTTAATTCTAAGCTTAGAATATCAATTTTTGACAATGTGCCTAAAAAGTTACATTTTGCGTAAAACTTGCGGTTTTGCACAAAAATTTGCGGTTTTGCGCAAATTGCGCAAAACTAAAATTTCGTTTAATGTTCAACTTTTGCAAAAAATATTTCCAGTTTTGCGCAAATTGCGCAAAATAAATAGCGCAAAACTCATTGCCTTTCATGAGCAAAAATAGCGCAAAAGTTCGCAAAAATAAAATTTGCGCGAAAATAGCGCAAATTTTGCGCAAAAGATTTAGCCATTTCGTGGAAACCCTATTCCAAGCTAGTGCTTAATTAATGTTAGTTAAAGTTAAACTTATGACTTTTGCCCTCAACATGGAAAGAGATCATATATAATCCGAATCTATAACAAACAAAACACTTGTCCATCAACCCGATTAGGCTTAAATAATGTCTTTTCTATAAATTCCATTATAAATCACTGAACACTCTAAACTCAAAAACTTTACTTGGAGTATACAGCAGCATGTTGCATTGTAAAGTACTAGGCTTTTAGGGCAATTCACGCACATCTTATATTTCAACTTAACAAAGAAGGTTTGCAAATTCAATAATACGTTTTCTTGGACTTTAAAAATTTTACAAAAATTTTAAAATTTAGGTGAACATTTTTTTTCTCTCTGAGTATCCAAAAACCTTCTCTGGGTCCTGTAAGGTCCCACAAAAAATTTGGGCCCGATCTGTTCATCCGTTTAGATCGTTTATTGGTTAAAAACAAAAATCGAACGTGCACCAACACAGCCAAAGTATAATTAAATATATTTCATACCAACTATAAGACAAAGAAGGATACTGGACCAAGTCAAACAAAGCATATATATATATATATATATTAAATACTGACTATCAGACAAAACAGGACAGTACATTAAAATAAAAATGGGGTCAGTGGGCACCTAATCCTGAAAATACATGTTCAAATGAGAGGACAAGGACACCTGGTTGTCCGGCAGCTACAGGAGGAGGAAGTAACAAGAAGGATACTGGACCAAGTCAAACAAAGCATATATATATATATATATATTAAATACTGACTATCAGACAAAACAGGACAGTACATTAAAATAATCACTTTGCAAAGCATAAAGCCTGCAATCTTTTTTCTTCTTCATGCCCTGTGCACATTTTTCTCTAGTTAATTATTATTAGTTTAAGATTAGAAATATGATGTTTGAAAATAAGTAATGTCAATTTTATTTTTTGTTATAATTAAAAGCAAGTATTTAATTAATGAATCCAGGAAGCATGCATCAAAATTAGGTAAACTGTTCTCATCATTAAATATATATCATAATATCTTATTTAAGATAACAGACCTTAACAAGATATTTTATTGATTTAACTAATTTAGTTTAACAATGACTCTTTTAATAAATGTAATTCTTTATTTAATGGTGAGAAAATTAATTTTCTAAAGAAATTCGTAATAATCTGAAATTTTTTATTTTATAATTAATTTAGTAATTTTTTTTAACCCTATAAAGGCTGGGGTTTTGAATCTATGTATAGCCTGGAGGGGCGTCCAAAGCCCCCCCCCCCCCCTAGAAAAGGCCTTAGCCAATAGGGTTGAAATGCATGCTTATAGCCCAATTTTACAAGGCCAGCTTATTGAAAGAAAAAAATTAAACTAATTTTCAAGGGTAAAAAAATGTAAAAAATTATTTTTTTGTTTTAAATAAATATTAAGAAGGGGCCATTGTTTCTAAATCCATTATTTCAATTTTCAAAATTTTAGTTTTTAGATCTGTAGCCTTTAGTCATAAAAAGTTATTTGCTATCTTAAATCTTTTTACATGGACTGGAAATTTTACCACATGCAGCGGCATGCCATACCCTTTGCATGAAAAAAAAATTTTGCAAAATCTTTTTAAAATTTCTATTCAACAAATTTCACAGTGATAGTGACAAAAATGAAAGTGCTAGGGTAAAAACTAGAGGGGTAGAGTCAAGAGCCCCCCCTACAAAGGCTGAAACTCAATGTTAGAGGTTTTTCACATCTTTGCAGGCTTAAAATTTTTTCAGTTAGAGATTGTAAAAATCCAAAAAAATAAACACTTTTCAGGTGATGAATTGTTTTGCACAATGGATTGAAAGAGGAGGAGACAACAAATTAGATGCTTCAAACAGTAGACAGAACAGCAACGATAAACGTGGCACTAGCAGAAAGGAATCAAATTATGACAGCAAGAGGGAAGAAACAAATGAAAATAATGAGTCTAACATAGTCGAGCATTCAAACCAAGAAGACAATATAAATACATACACCAAGGAATCAAGAAAAGAAGAACATGGGTCTAGCAGAAAAGGATCAAAATATAAAAAGAAGAAGGAAGAGGTAGATGAATCAAACTTAGTAATGGTTTCAAACGAAGAAGATATCTCAAGTAATACAGGATCTCATGATTCAAACTTGGAGCAGAGGGAAAAGCAAGAAGAAGAGAGTTCATACGCTAAAGAATTAAGGAACGAAGAACTAGGTTCCAGCAATAAGGAATCAAAATATGAAAAAAAGAAGGAAGAGGCAAATGAAATAGATCAATCAAACTTAGTAATGGTTTCAAATGAAGAATATGTTTCAAGTAATAAAGGAAACCAGGATTCAAATTGGGGTGAGAGGGAAGGTCAAGGAGAAAATGAGGATTCATACAATAAAGAATCAAACACACAAGATTCATATTCCACAGATTCAAGCTCTAAAAATTCAAACTCTAGAAAATCTACCTCTGAAGATTCAAATAACACCAATGATATAACAATAACCAAAGAAGTTACGAAAAAAGATAACTCAAAGGTTTTACATTTAACACATATTCCATTTAGAAAATTTAGAATATTATTTAAAATATTAATCTTTAGGATACAATGGATTGCAAAGAACATAAGGAATGTATGACAGATAGAGCATATTGCCATCCCCGAACAAAAATGTGCCTCTGCAAAAATGGAGCTGCAACATATCCAACGTGTGACAAGAAGGGCAAATCAGATAAATGTCAACCTAAGTGCCCACCAAATCAAATGTGTACAAGAAATGGGGAATGTTCTTGTGAGCTGGGTGGGTTTCCTCCTGATTGCAATACAATGAAATGTGGACCTTTTGAATCAGAAATGAACAAAAAATGTGTATGCATGTATGGATCAGAAAAAAATGGGTCATGCAACAAATGTCGAAAAGAATGTAGCAAATCTGAAGTATGCAAAAAGCAAGGTATATTATTAAAACCTTATCATAAAGAAAACTTTTAACACATTTACTCTAGGGAATAAGGGATACAAATGTGTTTGCGAAAGCTCGAGCAAAGCTCCTTGTGATGTGAAACCTGGCTCAAAGCCTGATTCACCACCAAAATTAAAGCCTGAATGGGAGAGATGGTCTCAATGGACTCCATGCTCTTCTACTTGTGGTAACGGAAGACGGACTAGAAGAAGAACTTGTGAGTCTCGGGGAGAGTGTAGGGGAAAAGCTACTGATAGAAGGAGTTGCAATGAGAGACCCTGTCAAACTTATTGTGAATGGTGTGAATGGGGTCAGTGGGCACCTAATCCTGAAAATACATGTTCAAATGAGAGGACAAGGACACCTGGTTGTCCGGCAGCTACAGGAGGAGGAAGTAACTGTGAAGGTGAAGATAGCCAGCAGCAGTTAATACCTACTAATGATTTAGGCCCAGTAATGTCACAGGACTTCCATCGTGGGACAGACTGGCCCAGAAATGTGTTTGACGTAGAATGCCCAGGTGGTTGCATAGAAGTAATCAAGGTAATATATTTCTTAGACCTATTTAACCTTGAACAAATATACTAGTCCAAGTATACTAGACATAATTTTAAGTGATCCTCCATGCATTTAAAGAATACTAGATTTACAATGGGCACCCTTTCTTAAATGATGTTCAAATTGCAAAAAAAAACTTTGGTGTACACTGAAGCCTACAGTGCAGTCCAGCAGTTTCCAAAAAATAGGAAAAATTGTTATTTGAAAATTTTGCATTTTTCACAATCATTTTGCTTCATTATTGCAATCACAAAAAAATGCAAAAATTTTGTGAAAAAAATATGCAAAAATTTCTCGAAAAAAAAGCAAAAACTTTGCAAAAAGCAAAAAATAATGCAAAAATTTCATGAAAAAAATTGCAAAAATTTTGTGCAAAAAATTGGAAATTATGCCAAAAAAATTAAGATTTCACAAAAAATACAGAATTTTTAAAACAAAGCAAAATTTTAGCAAAAAAGACTAAATTTGAGAATACTAGACTCATTTTGAAAGAGGGATTTGTCCGCTAGCTCAATTGATGGATTAACACAAAATATAAATATAGATTTAAGAACAACTAGAAGACATCAGACATTTTGTGAAAATTTTATATTTCCCAAAAATATTTTCACAAAAAAGTTTGCCAAATGTTTCGTTTGCAAGGTTTTAAAAAATCAATTGAAAATATTTTTTTTTTCACAAATGTAGAGAAACTTGTGTAAACAACAATTGACAAATACAAGAGAAATATGGATAATTCAGTCATACTTAATTAGTTTAAGGTTAAGGGAACTGATTTGAATATCACACACCAGTCTACAAATGAAAGGTCACTTAAAATTACATCTTTTAAACTTTTTCCATGAGTCAAACATACCTGACAAAGAAAATTTTAATACAGTATTGCATTAAAAAGTAAATTCAGGCAGTTTTTGATTGTGATCCAAGGGAAGCTAACCCTGATGAATTAGCAAGAGTTAAAGGACTATGTGATGGAAGGTCAAGATGTCAGTTTGTTCCGGGTCCAGTGCTGTTTGGTCGAGAGATCAATTGTCCTGGTAAATTTCCTGCATCCTGGTTTAGTTGGAGATGCAATGGCAATGGAAATCAAATGAATGTTAATAACAATTTTGCTGATATGCCACCTATGATGATGGGAGGACCTGGCGCTGATTAAGCAGCACCTGCTGCACAAGCAGGGAGATGAGGATTGGTACTCCAACATCCATGATTTTTTTTTAATTTTTATTTATGGTTTAATAAATTACTATTTTCATACCATTATTGAAACTTTGAAAACATTTTCTGTGTAGTGAAATCGGAAATCTCAATCTATGTATGGCCACCAAGAAAAAGGCCTTACAGTAAAGGTAAAGGGTTGAAATGTATGCTAAATTGAACAAAGTCCATCTTTTTAATAATTTGGGTGCTAGGAAGGTTTGAAAAAACAGTCGGAAACATGTAATATATAATTGTTTTTGTTCTTAACAAATATTAAAATGCAACACATGTTTCTATATCATTTTTTAAGGACTATTTAAAAATGTTATTTATAGATCTGTAGCTTTTGTGAATAAATTAGTGATGGGCTAGTATGGATTTTTTTTACAAGGAATCTTTTTACTTTTGGCTGTTTCTCTATAAATACCAGTTGCTGAGGTCAAAACTAAATAAGAAAAAACACATGATTAAAATAATCATACTGCAAAAAATACTATGATCGTAAAAAACTGCAAAAATGAAAGAACTTGTGCTATACCAACGTACCTATGCTGGTCTTTTATGATACAAACTACTTATGGGATTATCATATCTCAAGCTTCATGCTATTCTCTAAAATAAGACCGCGTCAGGTTGGAATTCATATGATAAAATCAATATGTGTGTAAAGAATGAATTCTTGCTATCACCTGACTCAGCTCCTCCCTCCCCCAGAGCTCAGGATTGCTTCAACCAATTAGAATCATCCACCTTGTTGACATGCCCTGAACCTTTTTTCTGAATGAAAACATAATCCTGAACTGAACATTGGGTAACTCAATACAACTGATTACCAAACGGGGATTCCAAAAATTGTCTGCCAATTTAAGAAAGTGAATGTAAATATTTTTTAAACTTAAAGTTTGAAAATGAAAAGTAAAAAAACTCAAGTTTATCTAGGAAATTTTTTAAACCAATTGTTTTTTTAAAAAAACATATTGGTATTTTGTTTTTTGTTTTTTAAAAGTTAATAACTTGACTCAATGTTTTCTGAAAGCAAAAAGTTGTTCGTTTTAAAAATCAAAAGCAAAACATAAATAATCTTTTCAACAAATAATTCTTAAAAACAATCAACAGCTCAAGCTTTTGTGTTATATAAAGCAAGGTCTCTTCAAAATTAATTTTTTTAATTCCATAGAATGTCATAAGATAGATATCAAAGTAGTTTTATAACTTGAATACCTCCATCAAAGACTCTGAATAAGGCTAGTTCTTATTAAAGGTTAGATATAGTTGGAAAGAGATTATAAAACCCCAATATTTGAATTTTTTCCCAAACTAGCTACCCATTTATAGAAATAGTCCATTAACCCAATTTGGGTATAATGCCAATTGTAATATGTTAATTATAAATCCCTGTTCACAGTAAAATGTACTGCAAGTTGTATTGTATCCATACTAAAGTACAAAACAGGACAGTACATCAAATGATTCATCTCCTTCTAGTGACACTATTGTGAGTAGTACTGAGCCTGATTTAGTTTTTCTTCTACGCATCCTGTGCTAATATTTTAATACTCTTTAAGATATTTGATTGTGAGAAGTGCAAGATATTAGATTCAATACGAAATATGATGCTTTAAAATAAATAATGTCAATATTATTTTCTCTTATAATTAAGGGCAAGTCTTTGAATAATGTATCCAGAAAGTTTGAGACGAAAAGAAAGAGAAAATGTTCTCATTGCAGTATTTTATAAAAATGTTATTTTAAATTTTAATTTTCTAACTTAAAACAAATATATTCTTGGAACTCTTAAACTTGGAGTAAACATGATCTTGTTAAATATGTATCATTATACATAATATTTGATAACAAACCATAATTAGATGTTTCATTGATTTAATGTTTTTAGTTTAACAATGACTCTTATAAACAATGTTCTTCTTTGTTTGATGGTGAGATAGTTAATCATAAGGGATTTTATGATAATCTGGAATATCTACAGGGGTGCAATGAATTTCAAATTACTAATGAAAAAAGTTAATAGCATATATGGCAGTGCATTAAAAAACCACTAAATGGTTCAACCTTTGGTATATCTTAGTTTACAGAAGTAATGCAAAGGCTGAGAATAACCATGTTTTTAGCCCCCTTTGAAGGCTTAAGGATTTCTCAATTAGAAACCATAAATATTCCAAAACAAATGTTTAAGGTGATGAACTGCTTTGCACAAGATTGGACTGAAAGAGGTGGAGACGTAAAATCATATGCTTCAATTGATAGACAGAGCTCCAAGAGTTCCAACAACAAGGATGAAAGATATGAAAGACATGATTCAAAAGCTAAAGAATCTAAAAGTGAAAAACGTAATTCCAACAAAAACGAATCAAAATATGACAGCAACAGGAAAGAGACAAATGAAATTGATGATCCAAATCAAGTTGAGTTTTCAAACGAAGAAGACATTAAAAGCATGTACACTAGAGAATCAAGAAAAGAAGAACATGGGTCCAGCATAGAGGAATCAAAATATGAATATAGGAAGAAAGTGGCAACTGAAACAGATGAATCCAACATAGTAACATATTCAAAAATAGAAGATGATTCGACTGATAAAGGAACTCAGGTTTCAAACTGGGGTGAGAGAGAAACCCAACAAGAAAAGGAGGATCCCTATACTAAAGAATCAAACTCTAAGGATTCATATTCTAGAGATTCAAGCTCGAAAAAGACTTCCTCTAACAAATCAACCTCTGAAGATCAAGAGAATACCAATTACATATCAATCACTAAAGAAGTAAAAAAAAGACCCTCCTTAAAGGTTTTCATTTTTAACACATATTACAGTAAGAAAATTTAGAATTTGATTTGAAATGTTAACCATTAGGACTGGGGTAAATATAATGCCATCTAATCAGATACCAAATGTTGATAAATGGATATGAGGGGCAAAAATTAACCATTTGTTGTTGTAAACACATAAAAGTTTGATGTCAATTCCTAAATGCAACATGTGTACTGCAAGGTAGTGTTAATTTATATTTATCTATATTTTGATTACTGATATTTACACCTTTTAAAACACATACATTGAAGTTCACAATGACACAGAACTTGTGTATTTTCTGTCCCTAAATTCACTTTTAAGGCCAGGGGCAGATACAGGATTTAAGTGAGGGGGGGGGGGGCAAGATTTTTTAGGAACAAAAAATTTCATAGTTAGGAGCAAAAAATCGCACTGCAGGCGAAAATTTTTTGACTTAAAATACTCAAAAATAGTTAAAATTAATGACTAAAGACTAAAAAACTAGATTTTTAACTTTTCGCACATTATAGTTTATTAAGACAGATATTTTTCCTGTTTTGCACTATAAGGTTTCCTTCCCTTAAACATGCTATTGAGAAGCTATTCTGAAAATAGGAACAAAAAATTCCAAATTCAGGGGGGGGGGCTAGGTCCCTGTGTATCCGCCCCTGTTTAAGGCGGATTCTAAATGGGAAAGAGATGGTTTTTAATGGACCCCTACTTTAGGATATGAATTGCAAAGGACATGAAGATTGTATGATAGATAGAGCATATTGCCATCCCCGAACAAAAATGTGCCTCTGCAAAAATGGAGCTCCCACATATCCAACATGTGACAAGAAGAGTAAATCAGATAAATGTCAACCTAAGTGTCCACCAAATCAAATGTGTACAAGTGATGGGGAATGTGCTTGTGAGTTAGGTGGGTTTCCTCCTGAATGCAACAAATTGAAATGTGGGCATTTTGCATCAGAAATGAACAAAAAATGTGTATGCATGTATGGATCAGAAAAAAATGGGTCATGCAACAAATGTCGTAAAGTGTGTGGAAAATCTGAAGAATGTAAAAAGCTAGGTATAATTTCACTGACCCCTCTCCCCCCCCCCACAAAAAAATTAACTTTTAACATATTTACTCTAGGGAAAAAGGGATACAAATGTATTTGTAAAAATGGGGGTGAAGTTCCCTGTGATTCAAAACCTGAATCACCTCATGCACCAAAGCCTGTATGGGAGAGATGGTCTCAATGGACACCATGCTCTTCTGTTTGTGGTAAAGGACAACGGACTAGAAGAAGAACTTGTGAGTCCCAGGGAGAGTGTAGGGGAAAAGCAACTGATAGAAGGAGTTGCAATGAGAGACCCTGTCAAACTAATTGTGAATGGTGTAAATGGGGTCAGTGGGCACCTAATCCTGAAAATACATGTTCAAGTGTGAGAACAAGGACACCTGGTTGTCCGGCAGCTACAGGAGGAGGAAGTAACTGTGAAGGTGAAGATAGCCAGCAGCAGTTAATACCTACTAATGATGTAGGCTCAGTAATGTCACAGGACTTCCATCGTGGGACAGACTGGCCCAGAAACGTGTTTGACGTAGAATGCCCTGGTGGTTGCATAGAAGTAATCAAGGTAATATTTCTTCTATAATCTATTTTTCCTTGAAATAAGATATTAATTCTTAAGTCAATTTGAATGTAGGCATAATTTCAAGTGACCCTCCATTCAGATTTACAAGAGGTACCCTTTTAACCTTAAACTAATCAACAAGGACAGAGAAGTCTGTGTTTATTCCTCTAAAAAGGTGTTCAAATGGAAGTAATCACCTTACTGTAAGCTAGTCTACAGTGGAAATGCAGCTTAGCTTGTTTTGCATAATTTATCAAAAATTCTATATATTCCATGTCCAGCATAGATTATAAAGATTCAAATGAAAATATTTATTTACTGTGACTCATATCAAAATATCGATATTACTTGAATATAAAAAATGTTGCATAAATAACCATCAGCAAATACAAGAGAAAAAAGGATAAATAATTTTATGCTTTTAAGGGAACTGATCTGAAAATCATATTCTACAAATGGAAGGTCTATTGAAATTACATCTTTTAAATCTTTTCATTGAGTCAAGCATACCATACAAAGAAACTTTAATATATACAATAAACAGGTTAAATTGCATTAAAGAATAATTTCAGGCAGTTTATGATTGTGATCCAAGGGAAGCTAACCCTGATGAATTAGCAAGAGTTAAAGGACTATGTGATGGAAGGTCAAGATGTCAGTTTGTTCCGGGTCCAGTGCTGTTTGGTCGAGAGATCAATTGTCCTGGTAAATTTCCTGCATCCTGGTTTAGTTGGAGATGCAACGGCAATAGAAATCAAATGAATGTTAAAAACAATTTTGCTGATATGCCACCTATGATGATGGGAGGACCTGGTGCCGACTAAGCAGCACCGACTGAACCAGCTGGGGGCGGAGGATTGGACTCTGACTTCCATTCTTTCTGTAAATTTTTTTACTTTTGCTTTTATTAAATTCATTGTTGTATTTTCCTATTACAGTTAAAACTTTTCAACGCATGCTCTCTGTAGTTAGCTAGCCTTTGTCAAAATTGGTCAACTTTTGGTACAGAAAAAGAGTACTCATGCCCAAGGACAGGTTTATTAAACAAAATTTTTAAACTCTCTGTCTATATATATTTCCAAGTATGGAGTTAAGATATGTCTTATTGTTTAAGTATATAAGCTCGAGTATAGATGTAAGATATGCCTAAATCTGTAGGTGTATAAGCCTGGGTTTTGATGTTTGCTATGAACATCATAAATTTTGGGGATTTTTTGAAAATCTTCATTTCTACATTTTATTGTTCTGAGAATAATGGATTGGTTTCAAGAAGAGTAATTTTTCATATGTAAGTCTACATCATTTAGATTACAGAAGAAGAAAAAAATGAAGATTGCTTGATGCATAAGGTTCCAGCTTGAGCTTTGAAAAAAAGGATAAAATCGAAAAAAAATTGCCTTTTTCATCCAAAAAAGAAAAAAAAATTGTTTAATCAACCTGTCCTTGGACACCCCGATTGTGAGTTCTCTTTTCTATGCCAAAAGTTGACTAATTTTGACTGAAGTCTGAGTGTGTAGTGACAATGTATAAAAATTACTTTTATTCAAAACCTATGAGGATGAACAATGTAACTTTGTACAATTGTTTGTAATTTATAAGTAAGAGAAACCTACTGGTAACTATTTACAATTGCATGTAATTTATGTGTAAGATAAATCTACTGTAACTGTGTACAATTGTTTGTAATTTATGAGTAAGATAAGCCAACTGTAACTATATTTTAGGATGTAATTTAATAGTAAGATTAGTTAAACTCTTACAGAATAATTTTCAGGTAGCCAGTAGGTAAGAATGGAATGTTCGTTTTGTAAACGGTATTTTCCGTATTTTTATAAATAACCGTTAGTTAATGATCTCAATTTTATTCTGGCATTAGCTGTTCAAAAATTGTGTGAAGAGAAATTTTTTTGTTAGCAGTTTGTCAAATTGTTAACGGCGCAAACTGTTAATAGGGTTGTTAATCGTTTTTAAAAACAATCATTAAAAGATCGTTTTTTGCTTCGTTTTTCAATCGTTTTCAAAAACGATCATTTCGTTTTCGGAAAAAAATGATTTAAAAATAACCCACTCGTTTTGAACTTTAAGAAAACGAATAATGATTGGTTTTGAAAACGATCGTTTATAAAAACTATCGTTTCGTTTTTGTTTTTCATCATCGTTTTTATACCGAAATGATTGTTTAAAAAAAATGAAAACAATAACATTCTAGCTGTTAATAGTTGTTTGTAGTATTTACAGCGTTAATGTTTTATTAAATTGAATTTCCGGCACAAGCTGTCATCAAACTGCAAAAATGATCATTAACAGCTCCATCATTCAAATGAGGAAGTGGAGGGGNGAGACAACAATTAAAAAATGTAAATACCTAAAAAAGTATTTATTTGTTTGGAAGTTTCATGCAATTTTTGCAGAAAAATAACAAATGTTGTCGTTTTTTTAACCCAATTGTTTTGTTTTTGTTTTCAACTGTTATTTTTTTTCCAAAACGGCTAATCCGTTCGTTGACAATTTGAAAATTAACGGTTTTTGCCATCACCAAACTGGACTCTTCCGTTTATTTTCGAAAACCTCCATTTCGTAAATGGAACTTTGCCCAGCCCTAACTATAACTGTATATAATTAATTGTATCCAAAGGAATTGAGTTTTTGCCACAAACTCAACTTTTCTAACTACTATATCTTTGCAACCCGATTCTGAACATTTTAATGTTTCAAACTTAGACTTTTTGATCTAACAGATCATTCATAGTTTGAAATATCAAAGGTTTACATCATCAGGTTGCAAAGATATAGCGATAATAAAAAAATAGTTTGTGACAAAGATTCAATTCCTTTGTCCACGAATAAGATAAACCAACAGTATGTAAAGATTTATAAAGCTGAACCTAAACTACTGCTGCATACAGTTGTTAGTTACTGTAGTTGTATACAGTTGTATGTTATTCTTTTTTGTGTAAGATAAACCTACTGTAATTATATACAGTTGTTTGTTATTTATCTATGTTTACGATAAACCTACTTTAAATGAATAATGTTGTATGTTATTTATCTATGTTTAAGATAAACCTACTGTAACTTCATATAGTTGAATGTTATTTATCTATGTGTAAGATAAACCTACTTTAACTGAATACAGTTGTATGTTACTTATCTATGTGTAAGATAAATCTACTGTATCTGTTTACAGTTGTATGTTATTTATCTATGTGTAAGATAAACCTATTTTAACTGAATACAGTTGTATTTATTTATCTATGTGTAAGATAAAGCTACTGTAACTGTACATAGTTGTATGTTATTTATCCATGTGTAAGATAAACCTACTGAAACTGCAAAGCTCAGCAGTGGTATAGTTTATCACCCAGTATGATGCATTTGAGGAAAGCTGAATGGTCGAAAAGAGCAGGGAGGGAGGGGGTTGCGATGTATTTAATGTAGAATCTGTATAAGGGGGTGGTAGGGAGGAGGAGTACAGATAGGTGTTCTGTAAAAGGTGGGGGAGGGGGGAGGTAAATCGATTTCCAACAAAATAGGTTTTTTACACAAATGGAAGTTCTGATAGGTATCTAATGACCTAATATTATTTAACAGACGGGGTATCGTACATGTCTGTTTTTGTTAAATATATTGAGAAAGAACCAGCCACTGAAAAATTTACATTAAACTCTTTTTAATTAATTTAAAAAAAGTATCATCTTGTGTAAAGGTAATTCTAATTTCAAGGTTTATATTCAGACTATTTTATATTATCTTAAACCCCTTTTCACTACATTTCTTACACCAGATTAAGCCAAGCTTTTCATTATATTTCTTACACCAGATTAAGCTGAGCTTTTCATTATATTTCTTACACCAGATTAAACCAAGCTTTTCATTATATTTCTTACACCAGATTAAACCAAGCTTTTCATTATATTTCTTACACCAGATTAAACCGAGCTTTTCATTATATTTCTTACACAAGATTAAGCAGAGCTTTTCATTTTTTTCTTTCGCCAGATAAAGCCGAGCTGTTCATAATATTTCTTACATCAGATTAAGCCGAGCTTTTCATTACATTTCTTACACCAGATTAAGGCAAGCTTTTCAATATATATCTTACACCAGATTAAATCGAGCTTTTCATTATATTTCTTACACCAGATTAAGTCGAGCTTTTCATTATATTTCTTACGCCAGATTAAGCCAAGCTTTTCATTATATTTCTTACACCAGATTAAGCTGAGCTTTTCATTATATTTCTTACAACAGATTAAGCCAAGCTTTTCATTATATTTCTTACACCAGATTAAGCTGAGCTTTTCACGGCCTTTTTTACATGGCAGTTGAGCAGTTTTAATGTAGAGACATTTTTCAGGATTCATTTGAGACGTTTCTGCGGTTAATAATTGTTCCGAAAGGGCGAAATTCAAGGTTCAAAATCATCCTGGATTGTCCTTTATCTTAACTTTTAATTTGGAAAAAATAAATTTATGTAATAAATTTTCTACAGTCAGCTAATAACAGATATAGGAACAAAATAAATTTATGTAATAAATTTTCTACAGTCAGCTAATAACAGATATAGGAACAAAATTAATTATCGATGAAAGCCGTGGTAGAATCGATGAGTTCAAATTATCTATTGTTATCTTATTTTTTAAAATGTATTGGCAGATTTTTTTTAATCCCTTTTTTATTAGCGGAAGAAAACGGGAGAAGAAACGGCCATATTATTTTATTAAACTACTTTTTTTAAATATTTGTTGTAGAACATTGAAAAAAAAAATTGGAGCAATACAATTCCCGGAAAGACAGATTTCTGAAACAAACTGGGGAAAGAAATCTTCGGAATTACAAACTGCGGGCGGGGGGAAACTCTTCTGAAAGACAAACCGCGAAATGCAAATTCCTGAAGAGACAACCTTCTGAAAAGACAAACTCTTGAAGAGATTCTTGAAGAGAAAAACTCTTGAAGAGAAAAACTCTTGAAGAGAAAAACTCTTGAAGAGAAAAACTCTTGAAGAGAAAAACTCTTGAAGAGAAAAAATCTTGAAGAGAAAAACTCTTGAAAAGACAAAATCCTGAAAAGACCACCTCCTGAAAAGACAAACTCTTGAAGAGACAAACTATTGAAGAGACAAACTTTGAAGAGACAAACTCTTGAAGAGACAAATTCTTGAAGAGACAAACTCTTGAAGAGACAAATTCTTGAAGATACAAACTCTTGAAAAGACAAACTCTTAAAGAGACAAACTCTTGAAGAGACAAACTATTGAAGAGACAAACTTTGAAGAGACAAACTTTTGAAGAGACAAACTCTTGAAGAGCCAAACTCTTAAAGAGACAAACTCTTGCAAATTCAAACTATTGAAAAACTCCTGAAAATCGCTACGGCTAGAATATTATTGGGACCGAATATTTATCTTTTTACAAGTTTGTGTATTGCTCTTTCCGGAGATTGTATTTCATGAGTTTGTAAAAGGACCCTAGGTATATCCTGGGATGAATGTTGATCAATGTAAGTTTGTAAAAGGACCCTAGGTAGACCCTGGGATGAATGTTGATCAATGTAAGTTTGTAAAAGGACCCTAGGTAGACCCTGGGATAAATGTTGATCAATGTAAGTTTATAAATATAAATGTCTGGAGCAGACTGTCCTAGTTGTGTATATTTTGTGCCAATTAAATATAATGATGTGCTCGTCCAAACTTTATTGGAAATATAATAAATTTTTATGAAAATACTTCAATCTCCGCAATGCAAATATTTTAAAACAATATTTCAATTTTGCTCGGATTTGCAATAAATGCAACAATGCAAAAACCTGAATTTAACCGCAAATTTAAACAAAGTTCAACACCAGAATTGAAAGTAAAAAATATTTAAATAAAAATTGGACAAAATTGGGGCTTAAAAAAATTTTCAGAGCCAGTTCCTTGAATTATATCTTTATTT